CGCGGACAGCGGAAACCTGTGTCTGAGATTAAATAAAATATATACCAAGAGTAGATGCAGTTCTTAACTAAAACAGCCTTCACGACCCTGTTTCCATCTAGGCAGTTGAGGCGATAGGCCTTAACACCACGATGGTTCAATGTTCGGATCGAACGGAGCTAAAATTCCTGGAGGAATAAGATGGCTGGTTTACGACACTGAACTCCAACCTCCGGATCACGGAGACTGGTACCGAATTCAATAACATTCTCTCGCAGTATATTAATCGAGATTTGTTAGAAATGATGGGCTACAGAACTTTCATTACTTTTATGTGGAGATTGAGGTGATACTTGTGTGGTTATGTCAAAACCTGAATCTGATGTATTTCAGGTCTGAGTTCTAGAAATCTCTGCCCGGAAATATACGGCATTCTCTAGCTTTTAATTCTTGTATTTCACGTCTGCAAAGAGACAATGATTTGTGTCTCAGCTATGAGACCCCCACAACTGACACAGTGAGGATGGATTCGTCACTACGACCACTCCCAGTGCGTAGCGTTGTTGACTGTACAGACCTCAAGACGCACAGATACAGCTGACAAAGCGTGGCAGAAGTCTCAAACTTCTGAGACATTTTTGATGATAATTCATAACTTTGTAAATCCTGTTCTCTTCCCTGCGTTCATTGAAACGTTTGAAGGACCATACGCCTCCTGAGTCTTCCTATTTTCAGGTCTCGTTTTAATTTCCAGAAGTTCCTCTTATTTATAAATTCAATATAATTTACATTGCTTCTCCGAAATGTGACATTCCACACATTGACAAAGTGTTCGCCAGTTATTATGAGTTGCTTACGCTTTCGATAAAATGAAGGACGCATTACGCACACCTTCTCCTCGTAGCCATTGTCAGTCGAAAAGATCGTTCTGCCATCTATGAGTAATCATGTGAATTTTTGTGCTGTCATCTATCGGGGCCAAATGAAGGGGCACAGCTATCTTAATTACAAAGGAAATTAAACATTTGGAAATCATTCTACCAAAATTACAACACAACCAGCTGCATATTAACAAAAGAATTAATCACCTTAATTACTATATATAACCCGCTAGGCCAAATTGTTGAGACACACCTAGACCTGTTAATTCCAGACTGAAAATAAATTTATTCTCTAGGGAGACTTCAATGCAAAGCACAAGACGTGCCACGCTTGCAAGATTAACATTCTGGGCTAAATCCTACTAAATCGCTACAATAACAATTATTACTTAATCGCTGCCCCTATGAACCCAACTCATATTCCATACAACGATCCGGCCAGAGCAGACGTTTCGGACCTCACGTTAATAAACGAAGTTCTATATCACCATGCAATGAAAAGGCTAGATTCTCTGTCCCACTCAGATCACAGACTGTTACGCCAGCAATCAGACTACAATGAGACTTTCTGGCATGGTTAACAATAATTTAAACACGAAATGTCTAACCAATAATGCGACATATACGGAAGTTGATAATGCAGTCACTCATCTTACCGACGTGCTACATCCAGCGGTTAAAAAAATCAAACCCAACGGAAGCCAGGGCCTTCAGATACATGCAAATAGCACCGTCGATAATCCTGCTAATTCTGGAAAGCAACAAATTTCTAACCATATGGCAGAGGACACATAATATCGCTCTGCGCCCTCGTATAAACGCCTTGAAACAGCAAATAGATTCGGCCATTAAAAATCAGCTAAGTAACACCTGGCAACGCACACTGCAAGGTCCAGACCCCATAATACCAATGATGCATGGAGAATCAGAGAAGAAAACGTGAAATAGCACTAATATCATACGTCATTTGAAGTTAAATGATAGATCTGCAGTCGCTCGTCAGGAAAAAGTGAATCTGTTCGCAGACACACTGCAGGACATTTTTACGACTAACCCAGAAGTAGACAGTAATTTCTCTAAACTTAATATCAAGAATACCGTACGGAATTTTCTGGGTCCACCAAACAAATTACAAAGCAAAAGGGTGGAGAATTCGTCATCTCAAACCTCACAAAGCAGTTGGACCCGTTGTCAGACAGCACACAGTATTAAAGACTTGCCCCTAACAGCCCTTAAATTCACACCGACACTCTGTAACGCCTCCATAACAAATAATTACTACCCGCCTCATTGGAGAGTTCCAAAAATTATGATGATTTTAAAACCGGAAAAGGATAATTTCTCATCACTCAACTACAGGCCAATTAGTCTCTTAAATTCTCTGGCCGATGTTTTCTGAAAAGATTGAATTTTCAATTAAAAGAATTAAATTTAATAAGGGAAGGTTAATACGGATTTAAGAAAGGTCATTATACCACTCATGCATTGACATGGATCATAAAACGCGTTATATTTGGATTAAATAATAACAAAGCAACAATCTCTTCGGATAATAAAAGATCTCTCGATAAAGTGTGGTTCACTGTACTCAATTCTAAACACGTTTATGCAGAATTCCTGCTCAGTATATACATAAATATCTTAATAATAGAGCCTTCACAGTTGTACATGAAGATTCCGAATATACTAGCCGCCTTTAATAATCTTAATAAATGTTCGATTACTTTATTCTCTAAATGACTCACCCACCTTACTCCTACTTAAGATTTTTGGAACGAACATTCTCTGGTTAAATGAGGTCAAATACCTTGGCGCCATCCTAGATCGAAAACTCACCTACAGTGAATAACGCCAACCAGACTCAGGCAGCTCTACCCAATTCTGAACAAGTCCTCCTCCATCAACATTAGTCCTGTATTAACAATCTATAAAACCCTCTTAATAATAATGACGTATGCAAGCCCTGTCTCTGGATATGGAACCAAAACGCACCTCAGTAAACTCCAAAATTTTCATAGTAAGTTACTCAGAATTATTACTAAACTTCCAAAGGCAACGTCAATCAAAATTATACACGAACAAATTGGCATCGGGAAGATAAAAAACCATATCAGGAAACTAGGATGTAAATTATATTTCAAAAGTCAGTTTAGTGACAATTCTCAAATCAAAAAATTAGGCCCTTATGCTCCCATGTTCGATAAACATAAATGACCGCGGGGCCTACTAGTGGATCGATGTCTCTCTGTCCTCCAACTTTAACCAGTTGATCTTCTTAATGGTGAAGACGAGACGAGCTTCAACTTGGGTTGACATTATCCAGTAAAATTTTACTTTTCGAGCGGTTTTTACACATTCGTGTGTAAGCTTGGCAACGTAGCCAACAAAAATGAGGGCACAATACTCGACAAAAGTACCCTATTTGACTACTTATTAAATATCGTGACTTGGTCTCCTCGCTAATAAACGTAACATGCACGCACCTATGCGATTCTAGTAATATGGCTTCAAATGAGCCCATCGCATAACTCCACAGTCAAATCATAACAAAAGGTTGTCAAATACAAACAGTATTTCATAATAACTATAAGATCATCGTTTCATCGAAAATAATGTCTTATTTGACTGTGTTCATCAAGAAAGCCTGGAAAATATTAATTTAGATTTGGGACGTAGAAATCGCGGTTAAGATTCAGATAAATTCCAATGCATCAGCTTTATGCAGTTTAAGAACAAAATTATTTTATCCTGTAGCTACTTTACAAATGCGACTTTAAGTAAAGATTCTTCTGAAACCTAGGTATAAAATTAATGTGATTTGAACTAGGAGCAAATAATAAATTTAGATGTTTCGAGAATTAACAGAAGGAAAAAAAAAATTACTGGTTAATTCGGGAAAGAGACCGAAATATTTTGTCATTTCCGCGTGTCTAACAACATTTTCTAAACCATAATTTAAAAATGTGCTACAATTTCGTTGAGTTCATTACAACTGAAGAAAAACATTTTTTTTAAAATTCCCGTTTCGTAAAGAGCGTTAATATTAAAACTACGTAATTGTTTAATTTTAACCGTCTAATCACAATAAAATATTTTATTAAATATTAAAATATTATTACTACAATTAACATTTAAAATATTTAAAATATATTAAAATGATGCTCTAATTGTAAATCGAACATTTCGATAGAAAGAGCATCATTTTAATATATTTTAAATATTTTAAATATTTTAAATGTTAATTGTAGTAATAATATTTTAATATTTAATAAAATATTTTATTGTGATTAGACGGTTAAAATTAAACAATATGACGCAACATTATCATCTCATAAAACTACGTAGCACAAAAAACTTTCGAGTACGAAGATATCGTAATTTACAGTAACAACGCAATTTAACCTTTATTTAATTTGAAGTAAATACAAAAAGAAACGTATCTCGTTTGAAGACATAAATAAACATTGACATCCAGGGTATGTGTGTCGCTATGCCTGGCAACAAGAGTGTCAGACCCTTCAGATATTCCGATACAGTACAACACGTATACATGGGTGTCAGGTTATTCCGATACACGAAAATCTACTTGCTTCAAATTCCCGTTTGTATCTTATACAACTCAAAATTAAAGACACTCCGAACTCTTATGGATTTAACAATGAAAAACCTTAGTGAAAGATTCATGTCTCCAGCTCTTATACATAACTATCGATATGCACTGGGACAGCCAACTTGCAACGTGCACAGTACTGAGACAATAGATAAATCTTGCAACATGGAACAAAGTAATGCTATATATATCATAGCCTACATATGCCGAACGAGGTGCTAGAAACAAATATTTGAAAACATATGGGCCTATTTTAACCTTTCAATCTGTTATAGTTCACATAGTCTCCCAAGGTTAACAGCAACAGTCTAATAATCTGTGAGCTATTTTCATTTCTACGATGAAGTTTCTGTGCCGATTTTTATTTTTAGAATGCGCTAACACACATCAGAGAGAGGGGAAATGCGAGGTGAAACGGAAGACGAAGGCACGACCACACGTGCTGCATCTAACTAAGTTTATACAAGACAACAAACACATGCACTTAATCACAACTTAATTTAGTATAACAAGAAATTCGGAAGTGTTACCTCCTGGTAGCTCATTCGTCCTTTTTCATATTTATCCTGAGTAAACCCATAACGTTTCTGGTGAGCTGTTGTACTGGTACTTCTTTTCTTACTGTGAGCACCACCAGTAAACATCATCTTGTCCGCTAATATTTTCATTGCATCGCCGCACTTTCACATATTTCACACAAAACAAATAAACAAACAACTGAAAATGACATCTTCACTTCTTTTAAACTCCTGGCTCCTTTAGTCACAGTCTTTGAATACATACACCGAATCACATGAAACGAAAGGAAACACGAAGTGTCAAGCAGTCGGTGCAGCAATACTGATAGCTAATATTCTCATGGCACTGCAGCACGTTCACATATTTCTCATAACCTACTACGGAAAGTATCGCACATAGTTTTATGATATTTCTTATTTAACGCCAACTATAACAGCAAGCTTTCGAATACGCACTTGACAATCCTTGATTCAGGTGACATTGGAGCTATCAAGTAATAGCATTGAAAAAAATATAGTAAAAAATAACAAAACAGTTGAGTATCGAAAAACTTCGACAATACATCAGCGCACTCGAACGGATGAAAATGTGAAAATAGTAACTAGTTCTCTTCGATTAGGTTGTTCCCTTCTTTCCTACTCTTCTTTTTTCATTCTTCTTTGCACCATTTAAACACCCACAAGACAAAATTGGCAATGGAAAAAGAGGTTTAAAAAAAGAAAGGACGTAAAGTGATAAACCTGATTGGCCCAGCTGCTTGAGAAGAAATCACATGACCGGAAGTCATGACGTCACGAACTGGGAGGAACACTGCACCACATTCACCAACGCATTTACACCTAATGCTCCGTTGTGCCCATAATGGAAGCGTAATGCCCTCTCTTTTAGAAACAATAAGAAATCTGTCTTGAGCCTTCAAGTGAACAATTAAAATAATCGAGCCGTTTCGATTATCCCATCAACGCACAGCGGTAACGATGTATATCACCTACTTTAACATTTAATAAACAACTCTTTGAGTTTTGTCCACAGTGTAGCACTTGTTCCCTTAAACCTCATTAATCAATTGAACTTTGTAAAGTACACGCATTTTTTTGGTAGGTAGTGAATTTATAAATAACATTCACACGAGTTTCGAATTTAAAGGGTTGTGGGAATACTGCACCTGTTTGCAACAATTATAAGTTTAATACCGTCTCCATATCAGCCTAAGCATAATATTAAAGAAAACAGGATTTCTGAGATATCACGTAAAACTTTAACAATCATCATACAGGTAGAATCCCTTCTGAGAAGCTTGTCCAATTTCCAACCTATTATGGAACTCCACACCCTGTCGTTTGATTTACCAAAGTTCCATTTTAATATTATCCTCCAATCTATGCTTAGGTCTTCCAGGTGGTCTTTCCCTTACTGTTTTCTTAAAAAAAAAATTCTCACCTCTTCTTTGCATGATCTGTGCCCTGCAGAAATCTTCGTATCTCCTCACAATTTTCATAAGGCATCTGTCCCTTCCGCTTCAGTCCAAACGTTTTCCTCATCACTCTCAATATGTGGTCTCTTAATGAAAAGTCCAAGTTTCACATCCAAACAACCTCCAAAAGAACAATAAGTGACATTTGGTATTTCCATTGTGAACTTTCCGTATTAAGACAGACCATAAGACAATAACTAAAAAGAATAAGTTTGTCGTCTAGTAGGAAAGAGTAGTTTCAAGTCATCTGCGCAACACCATAAGATCGCAGGTTCATTTCTTATCAAAGGTAACGATTCCATGGCAAAATGTTGTGATATTGTGTACCGTGAATCCTAAGAGGATGGCGACAAAAACCACATGCATCGCACTATATTTTTTTGTTTATGAAAGTTTGATTTTTTTACGGGTGACAAAAGGTTTACAAAATAAGAAAGGATGCTTCACACAAGAAACAAATTTCTCATGCTGCTATATTAACAATTTTGTTCATTTACAGGTTCCAGGCAGTAAAATTACAGGGAAATTCATTGATGCCTAATTTATATATGGCAATTTAACTGTCTTTTGTTACAACATACATAAATACATAAGTATTCCTGTTCAAATAATGTCAATTTTGACCGCAGGTATTTAAATGACATAAAATACTTTCAAACCTCATATACTTAGAGGTTTGAGATTTGCAGTTTTCCGTGCATACTAAATTGGTAAATAAATTCATAGGCATTTCTGAGGAACATGTCTCCTTCACCAGGTTTAAAGCAACTGGGAAAGAATTATCAGACTGTGGAAGCTCGGTGCCTGCCACAAGCTTTGTAGAAACGTATGCAGCAATGTGTATTATATAAATCAAGGACGCACGACCACCTTCTTTCAAAGGATCACAATACCCTTATATGCAGGACATTCTTAAGAAGACTTTATTGGGTATATGAAACTGTGCCAGCATCTACTTTAAGTAGTATCGACAGAACATTTAGTAAACCACAGAAATATTATTCATATTTTGTTTACAAGCGTGGTCCAGGAGTAATCACACATAAAAATACGTTCACATTTTGTGACTAGAATGCAGACAAAACCATAATACACAGACTGTCAATATTTTTTTTTTAAAATGTGGAAAGGACAATAACAAATGAAAACTGTACTCACGAAGAAATAAAGAGCAGACTAAATTTGGCTATGCTTACTACTATTCAGTAGGGAACATTTTGTCTTTTCATTTCCTATCTAGAAATGTAAGGTTATGTTATGCTAAACTGTAATCTTGTCTGTTGTTTCATATGGGTGTGTAACTTGGTCTGTCATATTAAGGTAAAGGGTCATGATGGCCGTATCGTAGGATGTTGTGCCATGATCATGGAGGCAGCAAGGACCTCTGAAATGATGCCAATGTAACTTCTACAAGACTACATGGCATAACAACCCAAAAAAACAGCCATCTTCATATTCATAACTGTGAGAACCTCCAATCTCACATACACCAAGGGTGTTTCGGTGCTGAGAGGAATACTTGGACACAACGGGGGAAGCAAGAGGATCACCGAATGTTATCAGGTAACCAAATCAAGGAGGATGAGACGAACAGGGCAGTTAGCACACACAACAGAACAAAAATAAGCGCACAAAATTTTAGTCAATACTTTAAACCTATTTGGAAAACCTGGGCATAAATTGGAGGGATTATTAAAATGGTGTGGCGTGAATGTGTTGTAGGGCTCCAAACAGGCACCAGTAGCAACCTCTTGTAAACATGGTAACGAAACTTTGGATTCCATAAAATTATGAATTTTTTGACCTCCAGCATATATTCTTACAGGAAGGTGGCAAAGTTTCATGCCCACGTAACACAACGGGAAAATTAAAGTTTCAATTTTGTAACTTTTATGCTTCTAAATAGAAGGTAAGGCAGCAAGTGTTCCTCACATACAGTCTGATGTTAATTCTTTTGCGAACATAATTTTGATTTGTTCCCGTTATTCCAAATATTTGAACAATGCCACATTTTAAAAGAATTTATTATCTAACTATATATTATGACTCCATCCTGTATTCTGGGGATGAGACATGAACACATATTTAAGTTTTCCTATGTCTGCTTCTAGAGTAACCTTCTTACTAGCTTCTAATATTACTTGTACGTTATTCTTTATAGTATTCTTGTTCTTGCCCTGTAAATTAACATCACCAGCACAGACCAGAAGACCAACATGTAAAATATCCCAGCAATTATATTAATTTATATATACAATAATTTAAGATATCATAGCACAAATGGACCATGTTTTTTCAATTTTCCTTATAGATTAAATAATAACTTATGCTTTTGGAGATTAAGGGCAGAGTATTTAGAAACCGATTATGTAAAATTTATTTTAAAGGCAGTAGTAAAAGTATATTGGTTACGAATCTTGACACACTCAGAACAAGCAGCTGGCAATAATAACTAGGACATTCTCAGGTTTAATTTCACTTTTATCTTCAACAAACAATGCTCTCATGCAGTTAAAAGTCATTTCATTTAACATGTAAAACTATAACTAGAATGTGTATTGTACTGGAACGGCAAATACTGAATCAGAATTCTTTCAGCAATAAAATCTATAGTAAGTACTTAATGATGGTCTTTCAGAATAATATTTGCATCAAAATGAACTACAAACACTCTGTACATTATTATAAATTATACTCCCTTTAAAAAAAAGAAAGAAATTTACACAAAGCTTTTTCTTATGGTAATGCTATCATAGTATTTAACAATTTTAACTAAGAACAATCATTCAAATACCACCACAAACACCTTCCTTCCTTCAGAATATCTACAAGTAAGATTTACATTCCACTTAAATTCTACACATTCAACAACATTGCAATCTACACACACAATTAGTATTCCTCTATGAAATTAAACCATTTTGCAGTCCCTCATTAAAATATGAATTTTGAAGTAAAGAACCCGTGTGAATTCTCACAAAGTCCCAAGACTCAGCTGATATAGCATACTTTAAATGATAACTTATTTTTGCATAAGTTTTCAATGATCAGACTTCCCTTTTCTTGATTATGTCTTTTCACAACAAATATAATCATCTTCATAGTGTAGTTTTATTTTATAATGTCATCAACTACAAGGATTGGGCCTACTGACCCATTAAAGGACAGTTGCTCAAGGCAACTTTTCCTTATTAGTCTTGTAGGGTGCATCTGAGTAGTGAGTGACAACCCCACTGCCTCTGCACAATTTCTGCTCAATCCTGATTTGTTCACGAGAGCCATCTAGGAGAGACATGGGTGAGAAATGGCCACTGAATTTTGCTTACAAAACATCTCATATCATGCTTGTAAGGTTCTTTTACATGCCATAAATCTACAACATGGAATCGCCAGATTTACTTCCCCTCCGAAGGACATTGTGCTACGGATTTTTATCACCATTAAAAATCCATCGACCTCGGCCGGGTTTGAGCCCGCGAACCTTGGGTCCAGTGGCAAGCACGCTAACCACTAGTTCCACCGAGGGTGACATTTCATATTTTATAATGTATGACCTATATTTGTTCCAAAATTAAAACCAAAAGTAGGACTGCTAATATACACATGCTCCAATTTCCTCATTAATAACATATAACCTCTGTCCATAAGTACGTATTCGCTAAATAAGCAAAGGAACTACAACCTTACCAGTCCTGGCATCTTTATATCAACGCTGCTCTGCCACTCTACTTTAATCCTGACACTGAAGTCCTGCACTTTAATGACACACTTTAATACCACTTTTAATGTGTATACCTTTCTCTAACCTCATGTGTGTATAAAAATAACAGTAAATTAAAACTGTTCTGGTATAGATACTGAATGTTACAGTTTATATGGAGTAAATAAATATTTACAATTGCCAGCTAGCTAACTAATTCAACGGAGCAGTGACCTTGAGATGCTAATACTCACTACACTGGACAGGAACCCAAGGTACATTCACACATTAATAAGAGCTTGTCACTGGAATGAACCAGAGTCAACTGAATCCAGTCCACATACTCAAAACTCTTTTGTTATCCATTTCATTATCATCATCTCCTCTTCCTCCCAAATTTTGTTTTTTCGGCTTTGGCTCTCAGAGGGCTGTTATGCCACGGATGTAACATCAACTTCAGGGATTATATATTTAGTTTGCTCTGACTCCAATAGCAACTTCCAGAACCTATCTCTTCATCTTTTCATGTATTGTCATCTTTTTCATTTTCTTCTCGAAGAGGATACATATAGAATACTCTTGAAAATCAATGTTTCTGCATTTGTTCCACATGATCCTGCCAGATCCTAAGATCAATCATAATTATTTCAAGTTTGGAAATATTTATTTCTTCACTGTGAATTTGGTCAGATTTTTTTTATCCCACTGTGGTTAGAGAATCCCATTTCTGCTGCCTCTATTAATTTTTTCTGGTCTATAATTATGAGTCCAAGTTTTGACCCATAAACCAATGTAAGCACAACCTGGCTTTATATAATTTTAAAACAGTATCTATTCTAATTTTTCCATTGTCTTTATGGTACCACGCAAATACTAAAAATCTGCACGCTTCATATCTACGTCATTTGAGTATCAAAATCCTATGTTGCAGCCAAGAAACTTCAAATTATTCACCTGTTCAACTCTTTCTGTTCTAAATTTGAATCTTTGCCCTTATGGGTGTTTCCCCTTGAAATGGTAATATTTTGTTTTTGTTAATATTTTTAAATTACAATCTCTTGCCATGTTGCTTAAGATATACACTACACTTGGTTCGCTGTCCTCATCCTTAGGAATTATAACTTGGTCAGCAAACAAGGTAATTTTATGAGATTGTAGCTCTCATGGCTGTCAAGACGTCAATGGTTATCTGCTGTGAGATCTAGTAGGTGGTTGCCAATGTTTCAGGGGAACACACTACCTCCATCTTCAGCCCTGAAAACATTAAGGTAATTGTAATGCTCCATAGTTTGGTTCAAGTTACTTCATCAAATGCTTTACTAAATTAATAAACGCAACATATGATGGGATGTTAAACTCCCCATGTTCTTTATTCAGCTGATGCAATGAAAATATGCAGTTGGTACAGGATCTTTCTGAAAATTATGCTGATCGAGTATTATTTCAATTATTTTGTTGATTATCTGCACTGATATCTTTGCATAAAATCTGTAGCAAATACTAAGCAGGTTTATGCCAATATAGTTATTATAACCGCACCTGTTCCTGCGTCTTCAATATTGGAAACATTGTGGCTAGCCTTCATTCTTTATAAACACATCAGTATAATATTTAGGACTGTGTAATTTCTTACAGTAAAGAAAAGCAAATGTCACAACAGGCGAGTAATATCAGGAAACAGATAATACACCAACAACCATTTTAAATCAATGACATCAGTTAATGAACACCAGAACCCTCTAGAACTTTTATTTACTTATTGTGTGCCATGAATGTGGAATTTAATACTCATTTCAAATGCTACATATCACAAAATTAAGTTTCAAGACTCAATTCTACAAATATCACTTTAGCCATATAACAGCAGTCCCTTGCCAGCTGTGAACCATGGTTTTAAATTTTGTAACCCATTTTTCTATCCACGATATTTGGTATTTTGTGTATATGTAGGAAAAATTGGCTGCAATGGAAATGGATGAACATAACCATAATTACATCATCATGAATGATGTTTTTTTTTTCTAAGACTTCAACTTTCATTAATCTAGTGTCTGAAAGGTAAATAATATACCTCATCACATCATCATTTTAATTGGTATATACATGTAGAGGTATTATTTTTAAACATGTTAATGTATTTACTGTGTATAGCAAAAGAAAAGGAAACCTAATTGAAGGTTAAACCAAACTCTCACTTTCCCATAATGCCTTAGTATTTCCAATCAGTGATTCTCTCGACTGTAACCCCACGGTTGGAAAGGGATTGCATTATTTAATTTGTCGAGCACTTCTGCCGGCATGAGCTACAAGTTACTTTTTTGTGTACACATGTTATGAAATCAGTCAAATTCATCTTACTGATTTATTTCATTACTATTAATAAGCTGTTGGAACACAACAGACCAGAAATCGGTTTTATTTTCTTCAGAAATTAACACATTTCAGATCTTCAAGATCAGTGCTTCATAATAATCATGTTCAAATTAACAGGAAGTCTTTAAAAAAGATCTTGGTCAAGGAATTCCAACAAAAGATGAAGATCGAAACACATTATTTACATCTGAAGTTGTATTGAATTCCATCATCTCAAAGGTATCATTCTCTATTTGTAAGTTTTGTGTTTCTGAACAGGCATTCTTTTGAATGAAACGAGAAAATAAACACAAAGCAACAACACAGAAGTTTAATTTAGACATATATGGGGAATTCAAATTTGACTTGGAATTCTTAATATTTCTCGCAGACACTGCTATATGCTGATGTCCCTTTTATACATATCATCCACATGCCTAATATAAAACAGGTAAGATTACTTACTGACATCATACAATCAAAATCCATGTAAAATCTTAACCACTCTCACATGTTGGCTTAAATAATTTTTACATCACATACAAATTCCTGAAAACATCACTTTACAAAGAGACTCCTCCCCCTCCAAAAAAACCTAGTATTTTAAGAAGTGTAAGTCACCATGTTGGCAATGGGTGCATAAGTATCATTTCAGTTCTTCACTTCTGTTCTTACATATTAGTACACACATCATGATTAATGAAAATAACTATCAGCCTACTTTGATTTTAAAACAGTTTCAGGTAGCCAGTATCTTTAAAGCGCACAACTACAATAATATCACAATTTTGTATTTATAACGTCCTGAAAAATGTAAAAGGAAGCAGGAGCCCACAGAAATACTGAATAATGGATAGTGAAATATTTGGGACATTCAAACATGTAGTGTTAAGTTCAGATATTACAGAAACGTTGAGCATGTGCTTAATATATATATCGCTGTAATATTTTGTTCGAGAAAATATCCTCTTCTAAATATTACAGTGATTACAGACAGAAGAGAAACCACGAAAGAAACGCAGCCTACGTTTAACAATACACAAAATGTACTGCCCATATATGAAGAAATGCACTGAAGAAAACACCAGTCAAATTCAAATTCTCTAAACACTGTTTTTCAATGAAGTCCATTCTTCAGAATGCTTGTAGCTTTTATAATGGGAATAACATAAGAGATTTATATTGACAAAGTTGAAGCAAAGAAGAATTTTCTGAAAGTGAATAAAGATGCACACATATTAAAAGATTAATAGGTCAGGGAATGCATGCAACTAGTTGTTGACATCAACAATACATTCTCACATAACCTACAAAAGGTGTTGCCATTCTCAAACCTTAGTACTTCAGTAGGACACTACAAGAGGAACTTAAATGTATACAAACTTGGCATACATTATTTCAATCACAAAAATGGTTTTATGCATATCTGGTATGAAACTGAGACAGAGAGGTTCACAAAATCTTTGTTTGTGTTTGATTAATCCAATCAGACAACTTAGTTTGGAGATTTCTCCCATCTGGTTCTTCTTATCAGCAAGATTAGTAAGCTATAGGCAAATTTGATAGGTCCTAAGAGTTTATGCTGCTTTTTTACCTTAGTGTGGTCAAGTTAGTTAATTTCTATTCAATTATTTGGTATTTCCACAACATTTATTTTAAATATTATTATTGTCTACTGCTGACATAACCTAATCTTAGGAACTTATATAGCTTTAGCTGACTTTTTCTAAGGAATCCAACTGAATAAGTATTCCCCACCTTTTCACCTGAGGACAGAAACAGATCCAGTTTAGAAAAAAAGTTTCAGAATACTACATAATGGATGACATCCAAAAATCCAGTAAAAGTAACTCTGAAGTTCTTGGTATCAGGATATGCACTTATTCCAAATAATGCTGACTTCAGTTTGATTGGTTCAGCAAGTCTAAAGATAGTGTTTTCTCACCAAATTGGATCAGATGTTACAGAACAGCCTCTTTTGAGGTAATTCAGATAAAAACACCCTGACTTCTCTACTATGAAACTGGAAGAATACATGGCTAAAAAATAAAAAAAATAAATCAAAATATATTTCAGTGCACAATTGAATCAAGTCAATTTTTCCCCCCCCCAAATTTTAACCTGGTTTCTACTTTGACAATGAATAATTCAAAACTAACTTTTCTAAACCTACTACATTTATGTTCTGAATGTCCTATTTATGGCTTGAATATAAACTAGAAAAAACATTTAAGTATGGGAAGTTAAAAACTATAATACGGTGAGCCCTCATTATCTATTGGCTCTGAATCCTTCTTTTCTCATATCTGTTGGTTCAATACCACTGTTCCCACACCATCATTGGTTTCCTTTATTCATAATTTTTTAATCGCCCGACATCTGTAATATTATTCACAGGGCATGTAGTTGTGTAACAAGCCTTCGTTTACTAACAGCAATCTCACTGTTTTGCAAGTCGGTAGTATAGTGATATTTTCCTTATTTATTTATATGATAAAATCAGTAGCCATGTCTGCAGTCAGTTAATAAAGAGCAGTTACAACTACGAAACAAAATTGAAAATTATTGCTGATTCTTAAGCTGAAATATGAATGATGAATATATGATATGAATCAGGAACACTTCTTACAAAAATAAAAACTGTAGTTCATAAACAAGAATACAAAGATGTTGCAAAATTCAATACTTAAAATTTAATTCTACACAGACCTGTATGTATAAATATGTATTTATATAATAGACTGCAATTAAATTAGTCCATATATTTGTGCTTATTTACCTAAAAATAAGTATAATGCTTAAGTTTCAGCAACAAGTTGTCATTTAAACATAGGATTCAATATTTCTGTATCCACAGGATTGTTACGGAAAAAAATAATTATGGATATTTAGGGCTTACTGCACTGCGTTGGGACCATAAGAATTAATCCCAGAAAGAAGCAAGGACTTTACCAGTTTTTGTTGTAGAAACATAACAACTGTAAATGGTTATCATGAAAGAAAACCATACAGTGGTATAGATGAGGATATGATGTAAGAAACAAAATTATAAGCTAAAAGATGTTTACAAAGACAATGCCAGAAGTGTAATGGAGCCAAAGTGTCTCAATTTTGCAGAGACGCACTTTCAAATTTCTCAAATATAACTGGAATATAAATAATATAGGTATATCAACATTTTTTCCAATACATAACAGAATTTACAAAAAATACTTTTCTACTGTAATGAATTGCTGTATTCAATAACCTACTGGAGAACAAATAACTGTTGTGTTCCAGCCTTTGAAGTAATCCATGTAACTATGGAGCTCGTCAGAAATATATTCAGTGCTCAAAATTGTTAAAAATCTACTATGAATAAAGTTTCATAATTAGTTCCCAAATCAGAATATATATATAAGTGTGCATGTGCGATATCTGAATGATTTCTCTAATCTGAAACAATTAATTTACCCAAAGAAACAACCACATAATAATAATACAATGTTATAAGACTTTCTCTCTAGTAAATAATTCAGATGCCCAGTCTCACAGTCCTAATTTTCCTTACAAACAGGGACAAAGCCACACATAAAATGTTAATGCTAAATACATGGACACTTCAAAATACAGCTGACAAAACTCATTTAAAGTCAGCCTATCACAGCTTGACAGATTCCAACATGGCTACAACTAATCACATGTAATCTTGGCCTGACTCACTCTTCTCCTTATCATTACATCATACGTCACACAGAAGCACAATAAACTAATACCAGGAATATTCACTTTATCAACAACACAATGTAACCAAATTGTTTCCAATCCTCTAGCCATGAATAAAATATTTAATATATTTAATGTTTGAATCAGGACATCCTACACAGTCTAGTACCACACTACAGGCCTCAACAATAATCTGATGTTTTTCATAAACTTTCTCAGTTTGGAGTATAAATTCATCAAGTCTTAACGATGATGTTCTACTGGGTTATAACACTGTATAGACAACAGTAGACACCAACATTTCAGAAAGCCCCAAAGATGGAGACAGTAAATTTATCTGAAATGCAGATATTTTCCTGTGAGTCTACACGGTGTTGCAACCCGGAAGAACATAATCATCATCACTGCCAAGAAAACTTCGAATGTCACATCAAGAGGTCTTAATTTCTTTACTATTACGTATACGCTATAACATTAAGTTTTTAAGATTTAAATACATAATTATGTGGTAGCATTTTCTAAGCCATTTTATTAATTAATAATATTTGTCCATGTTCAAGAAATTACTTTGCATACCTTGGTATTTTAATGCAAAAAAAGGTAAATAGTCACAATTGCTATGTTAAGATAAAGAAGCAACATTGTCTTCATAATAGCCTAGTTCATTTCAGCAGTCTGTGTGACTGATTTCTCAAGTCGAACCTCATATACTTAAACGTTACAGTAATAAACTTACACAGTAGTAAACAATGTTTCATTTAATAAATGTTAGGAGGTTAATTATGGGGTCACTTTCATCCAGCTAGTCCCATAAGATACAATAACTGATCTTTCCAGTATGAATGTCATGTCATAAACATTGCATACCACAATCTGACAGGAATATCAACTTTGCCAACAAAAAGAAAGAGACACAGAAAACCTGTATTACTGGCAAAAGTTATGTATGTAATGTACAACAATGCACCTATCATGAAAATTAAAATTGCAGAATCTAGAAAGTCAACTCTTCCGCTGAATCTCGGACACTTAGTTTGTAGTCTCCAATGTCTTTACTGGCACTATCAAAGTACAGGTTTCCTCTCTATTTGTTTTAGAAAAGTGTATTACACTTCCCTCTGGTGTTAAACTGGAGCTACATCTGCAACAAGAATATGCAAATTATTTTTCTGTGTAATAAAATATTATATAATTTATAATACTATTCTACAATCAGTTGATCCTCTTCTACCTGCAGGTGTCGAGGTGTTTTTACACTTAATCTATCAGACATTCGGTAGGACTCCTTGGACGAGTGATCGGCCTGTCGCAAGGCCTCTACCTATACACAGGACAGCACAACACAGAAAGACACGGACAAACATCCATGCCTTAAGTAGGATTCAAACCCACAGTCCCAATGCCCAAACGCACAAGGCCCACTCCTCAGACTGTACGGCCACTGTGACCGGCTACTATTCAAAATACAAAGATATATTATTAGGCACTGAGTTTCAATATACAAGTTTACACCTGCAACACAAATTAGTCATTGCCAATCCCCCCCCCCCATGGTTAAGGATTGATTATAAGTAATGTGTGATTTTATATAAGAAAATGCATGTAAGAAAATGGGCATCAACAGATATCTATGTCAAATGTTATTGTCACAAGAAAACTTTTAGAGATGGAACTGATACACAGAAGTGGAGGGGCAAAATACTTCTGAACTATATACATATAAAAACTTCTATAAAGATTGCCACAATTCCAAAACAATAATTTTGTGGAGAACCATGTACCAAACTAGATGCATGGTGTTATGTACTTGGGCAGGTGAAGATGACAAACCAGCTAACATTTATCATACTCTGAAGGCCATATAATCAGCATATGTTTATCTGAAGGTCACATCTGTATGTGGATGCAGCAGTTCAATCACAGTATGCAGGAAAGGACACCGCATCACTCTTGACAGCAGTGCAGAAAAACAATGTCTAATTTGGATAAAAATCACTAAGGAACTTAGGATAATCTTACAGTGACATGGTAAACTAGTTCAGTACATAATCTGATCAATAAGAAACTGAGATTCAGCAAACGTTTAGTGCTAGGTCAGCTGACATGACGCATCTCAACAGATGCTGCGCCCTGCTGACCCACCATCAAGTAGAGGATAGCAATTTTAATGGATGATTTAGATGCAGCGAGTCATTGGTGCACCACTTCCAGCCTAAAATAAAATCCACTGTCAAGCAGTGGCATCATTCTTCATTGCCAAAGCAAGAACATTTTCAACAGAACAATCATCAATGTATTGCAAAGCAACACACTTTTATAACAAAACAATTTGTTTCACTTGATTTAACCTCATATGTTAAAGAACAGAAGTTTTATTATTTTAGTCATTATAGCAAAACACGGGGTCCGCAGTGGCCGTGCGGTCTGAGGCGCGGGCCTTGTGCTGCTTGGTCAGCTGGGATCGTGGGTTCGAATCCCACTCATGCCATGGATGTTTGTCAGCGTTTTTCTGTGTTCTGCTGTCCTGTGTATAGGTAGAGGCCTTCCGACGGGCCGATCACTCGTCCAAGGAGTCCTACCAAAATGTCTATAGATCAAGTCAACGAAAAGTTGGGACCCGCAGTGTTCAGGCACTTGAAGAACGGGTCGTTCCCAGTATAGCAAAAACAATTACCCTTTGGCCCTGACCTCTGGATAGTTAAGTGACCTCAATTATATATTGTGTGCACCCATTAAATTTTTAAAGTTTATAATGTGATATATGCTCTGCAATTCTTGGGAATTAAAGATGATGGTAAATGCACTACAGAAAGAGAAGTGTGTACCACCATTTGTAAAGTCTTGGAATGCAAGCACAGTGCAGCATGAGTTTTGCAATATGCGTGGTGTCTGAAATGACCCTAGTATGAGTCCATAAAGGGAAGAGTAAAACAAATTTGACTTCTGGTGAAGAATGAAACACTACAAGGTATATAGGCCTTCTCTTTCACTGGGGAAATGGAAGTTTTGGCACCATAACCCAACATACTTCAACAATGTCTCATACCACAACTGCAACAGCAAAACAAACAGCATCATCTTCCAGCACGACGAAGCACTACCAAACTGGTCACTGGCCAGTATCATGGCCAAGAAGTCAAGATGCATGGGCCATATCACAAGGAAAGCAACAATGATATAGCTCCATTCCTACAACATGAATTGGGAGGACGGCTTCTCACCAACAACATAACCCCACCTGATAGACACTGAAAAGAGCCAACTTATTCGCTAACCGCTCTCAACCCAACCACCCCCCTCTGATGACTGCTTGGAGGTTGCCTATTGGCCCAGTACCTTCTCCTCCTCATTCCTTATCTCTGATTGGCACTTCCCTCAGAAGTTACACATTTGCTAACCTTCATGCTCCAGATGGAAAATATGGAAACTCTATTTTCCATTATATATATCTGCAGTCAGCTGAATGGAACAATATTCTCACATTACATAACAATATTAGAAAATTATATATTCGCAAGAACAGAACCACGTGTATCTGAAATGATTCTATTGGCTTCTTTAGATTGTAAAAGATTTTTGTTTGTAACTGAAATATCAAGCAGCCTTTTTGTTTTTTGTTGTTGTCCCACAAAACATCAAATTCAGACAGAAAATCTTAAAGATTCTTAAAAAAGCCTCGGCTCATCTCAACATTCCTTTCACATCTGCATCCCCATTCTTTGACATTTCTTCAGGATCCTGTGTTCAAAATAATCAGCAGAGAATGAGAAATTTATTGTTTTACTTTCATTTGAGTGTTCTGTGTTTTCCAGTGCGATATTGAACAGTCTTCAGAAATGCAATTTGGTGTGATACAGCCTGAAGCTGGAATCAAAACAAACCCCATGTTACATACAATAGTTGCCATTCTAGAAGCCTACAGCAGCACATTCCACTTGCATGAATACACCGTCATACTTTGTATTCATCCTGCAGACTCAGAATATTTGTTTTCACCTGGAAGTCTCCTGTTTAAATCATTGTCATGTGGTAGAATATTTTACTGGGTTCTTAGAATTAGTGAATCTGAAAATAGTCCCTGTTGGCAATGAACAACTCTAGAACTGCCGCCTGCAACTGAGGTGATAAAATATTTTTATACCAAGCTCTAATACTTGGAAACTGCATTATTAACGGAAGTGTTTAGATTTCTTGTTATTCAGACACACTGACCAAACTAACAAAGTATTCATTCAGACTACATCTGCATTACAATGCAGTCAGCCAAATATAGTGACGCAAGGTACTTGGATGGGAATATGGCCATGCTAAACTTTATTCCCCCCACCTCAAACCAAAAAGGTTTTAAAATAGACATGATATATGTACCCACAATTTTTAATTCTAATGTAAGAGACACTTCTTTCTTACAAACTGCATCCTTTCTTGTCAACAGCGTAAATCACAGTAGCAGCAAATTATCTGAGTTCATCAAAATAATTTTGGACAATGGACTAGTTTATTTTCATGGCAAGGATGACACTTAGAATGATTCTTTTATGTCTGCCAATAGGAGATCTAACAAAGAATGGCATAAAACCTAGTCATACTACATAAAGTTACATAAATTTCCCTTTTGATTCAGTTATAAGCAAATTAATACTTTTAATGTTTATAAAGATTAATAACAATATTTGTGTTCCAAAAGTTAGATGAATGTTGTTTCCTCTGTTCTCTAGACACTTAAATGGCATAAAACACTTGTTGACTCTCACTAAATACAACTTGGCCAATGTTTTGGGCCTATGGTGTTTATTTCTCTTGACAATCTGTAAAAAAAGTGTGAGTACAGCAGACTTGGCCATATTTTCCGAAACGGTCATATTTCCTTTACGTACCTTATACAACACATAGCCATTTTACAGTCTGTACCACACTTCCTGAAATAAGCTATTTTCAAGAAAGCAGCTATTTAAACATGAGAAAATAAAACTCCACATGAATGTAAACTAAATTTCTTATATAAATGCAGTTTATTAAAAAAAATGTTAGGTAAATGGAGTCGCTTTTAACATTTTAGTCTTTAACTGAGGACTGAGTAGTATTTAAGAAATGTGGTTTCCAGACTGAATAATGGTTTTCATTTTATTAACAAAATAAGAATTAGAGGATGATGAGGCTGCAATTCTCACCAAACAAAACTACCTGCTGGACAGGAAACAGGCCAATAACTTTCAGTCTTCCATTTGTCATGGACTGAATGAATAGCAATATTGCACAAGATGATGTCAGCTAAGTTTGCCAGTGGCCATATATCATGCCTGCTGAAAACCGACTGGAGATAATTACACGTGTTAAGCAACCAAACTTTTCAGAACAAATTAGAAAATATTGATTAACCTTAAATAGTTTGAAAAGAGAATTAAACCAAGAGCATTCATAACTGGTTGGATTAACTAATTTTTATCATTATTTAACCAATTAACTTGTGATTGTAAATTCTGTATTTATATAGTATTAAACCAAAAGTTTTGATGACATGGGTTAATAAGTTTTTCTCATTACAGGGCTAATGATGCAAACAGTACCACGCTGAAATACACAACAAACATTAGCATGCAAACTATCCATCCCTCTAGCCAGATACTGCTACCATAAGTTTTGAAACATGCAATGGTGGTGAGGGTAGTAAAATACTAAAATGGTTAGTCATTACAGAACATAAAGTGTAATACTAAACATAATATACAAAATCTTGCAAATTCACATTTACCAGTAGGTCTACTTTAGAATAATGTAATAATTTCTTAGGTAATTTTAATATATAAAGAAATTACATATATAATATGCAAGTAGGAGAGTTTGTGTAAATACAAATTGTGTCACTATAGCTGATATGCAAAACCCCTCAAATATCGAACCCTTGGCATTCTCATGATATACTGAGGAGTGCTCACAGGCTTTTAAGCCAAAAAACATCTCTCACTAAACACACATATTAAAGAACATCTTATGTATTCTGCTCTGTGTTCCGCTGAGCAAAATGCATCGGTGCTCATGAGCACAAAACCCAGCACATGGGTTTCATATAACTTCAAGGTCAAACTTTACTGGAGGTGTCATGATATGCATTTACTTCTCAGTATAAAAACCTAAAATATTTCAAATCAGTGCCATAATGACCATAATGTAACACAAAGAATACTTCTGCATGGATGCTAAGATGCAACATCATCATATGGCAAAGGAACAGGTGACAGAAATTAAACAGTTAAAAGTCTAGCAAGGAAAGCAAGTTTGCAAAAATGAGCAACTGATCATGACACAAACATATTTTAAGTGCTGAAAGTAAACATGCCCTTAGTAATCTTTGAATACTATGCTGCTGAAGTTCATATTGAAGAACGATTCTTGAAGAGACATTCAGGAAAGTAACACTTCTGCGTACTCAGAAAAAAAAGCATTTTGTTATCACTGTTCCAAAATCCAAAGTTCAGACACGAATATTTTTAGAGGCATACACCTTTAACACTGCAGCAATATGAAGAGTACCAACTGAGACACATTGTAACTTGAAAATATGGTGCAAGTCAAGGGATGAAAAGTTTAAGTACCATTTTTGCATCCATGTGGTACAAGTAAATCTTTTACATACCTTTCACCACCAGACATTTTATGGATTCCAGCTTCAAAAGTGCTTACAAAAGTGGACCCATGAACTGTAACAGGTTATACATATGTCATCAGTGAAAAGGAATCATAATGTGTTACCGAGATACTACATCAGGTTTCATACACTGTAATGCCATTCTTAAATTAATACTTCCTACTTAAAAATACTAAATAATACAAGATTCCTAACATCTACATAATGCCATCACCCAGAAATAGACTGCATTAGCACTGAATTGCCATGAAAGACTGGTATCTTATATTGTAAGCAATTTTAATATTTAAAATAATTTTGAGCAGACAATTTTTATCAGCTGTATAGCACCATGTAATGGCTCATGTGTGGTCCAACATGAAGTGTGACATAGCAATGTACCACTAAAATTGTCCTTTATTTCAAGCCAGCTCTCAGCAGCTACAGCAGTGGTCCCCAACTTTTTGTGCCTACGGGCACATTCAAGAGTTTATGAGATCGTGGCGGGCACCAACCAATTAAGAAAGCTAAATTTTCTTTTCTCTGGACAAATAAGATATGGACACCAAATAATACACAAAACAACACGACGTTTAATGATACAAGAAACCACGCAATCAAAAATACGTAGTTTTATAAGTACAATTATCATTACTCAAGTGGGAAGTTAGCGTGATGTTTGGCACTGCATTTCAGTTTTCCAAATTTGGGAGTGTAGGATGATGTTGCTGCTAACAATCGTCAAGATGGGCATCAATAAGTCCAGATCTGTGCTTTGATTTTATAATGTTCATGGTTGAACAGCCTTCATTATTCAGTATAACCTCTGTCCGTAACAACGCGGGCACCCAAAAAAAGCCTTGGCGGGCACCACGTTGGGGATCACTGAGCTATAGCATTGAAATTTTGCCCACTATACTTTTCAGCTGCATAAACATCAGCCCAAGGATATTCACTATTAGCCAAAAAGATCAGTCACAAAGTTAACATATAATTCTTGTGCCAAGACATCACTCACAATAAATATATATAACATATAAGTGTCTGTCAAATGTTTGAAGAGCGGGTTGGTGGGACAGTAGATCTATTAGAAATTTTTAATACAGACACTGACAACTATAGTTTCTTGGAATACACTAATTAATAAATAAATACAAGCACCACAAATATTTTTGTTTGGTAGTAGTAAAGGGTACAGTGACAGGTACACCACCATTGGAAGTTTCAAACAGCACAACCTGCTAGCTGGCAAGTATGATGTAAATTAGTGTATTATACTCAACAGAATATCATTTTAACCTTGTAATAAAGGCCAAGATATTGAGAAATAAAAGAAACAATGTAACATATATGCTGTGGCAAGTGGTAACTTGAGAGCACTGTGTGAGTAATGATATTAAAGGACAAGTAAGACGTAAAAATTGATGAATTTACATAAACCTGCAGAAGATAACGTCTGTGATGAACATAAGCTGAACAACCTGAAGCGTAAATTTCAAACAGCAAACCAATGTGAGAAAGACATGAAATCCAATACAGACTTACCCATAATAAAGGCTATCAAAAATTTAAACAGACTTTACTTCAAAATTACTTGGCAATGAGTGCAATCCACTCCAGCAGGAAAACCAAAGTCAAAAGCCAGTCAAATTATTTGCCTTGAAGCTTGACATACCACTGACCAGACGTGGGGTCATGCTTCTGGTGGCTCAATCAAGAAGAAACATATGACTACAAATTTCAATGCTAAAAGTGCAAAGTATAAGCCATGTTTTCACATTTATCACACACAGGTAAACTTCTAAATCAGAGTCCTGTTGCAATGTGTGAAGGAAAACATTTCCAGTATCATTAATGGATTTACATACATATTTTGTTTCATGAACCTACAAACCTTTTTTGGACAAGTATGGACAGTGTTAGGTAACCACATTTACTTAAAAACAACTGGGATAAAAGATTTTAGAAATCACATCAATTTTACAAAGCTGTGAAATCTGGACACTGATACAAAGGGGTATAAGATGAAGAGCAAAGATGAAATTCATGAGGAACACAGCATGGTTGCACTTTACTAAACCACTGAAGAAGTAAACATATTTTAGAAAAATTGAACATAGACCCGCAACTGAAGAAAAATTAACAGAATGTAAACAAAATGTGTTAGATCACGTTAGAGCGATGAAAAACATCAGATTATCAATCCAGACCACAATTAACCAGTTCCATTACTAATTTCTTTTCCAAATTTTGAGCCAAAAAATCATATTATTTTAGTTCAGTTTTGTGATCTGAGAACATAAATAATAAAGGCATTATTTTTTTTTCTGTAAACAAACAGCGCCATTAGTATACCAAGTTATCTTCGTTCTACTCAATTGTGCTGTGTGGCAGACCTGAAGTTTTCATTTTCATATACTGCCAAGCCTGTGTGACAACAGAACACTCGGAATCTGTGCCTGAAATCACTACTTCTGGTGCAGATGCATCATTTCTGGACTCATCAACAGAAATGTCTTCCACTTCACCGTCACACCTGTCAGAACTCCTTTCATGCTCCTCAGTCACAAAAGGACAACAACAATTTTGCAAGCCAATATTACACACAATGCACATCATGTCTGTGATCATTTGCAAAAACCTGCCATATATTGGCATAATCTGTAAAGACTGTGACAAAGAAAGGTAAGGAAGTATAAAAGAAATCTTCCAGAGGTAGAATCTGTCAGTGAACTACTGAACACTACTTCCATCTAATGAGAAGCAATTCAAAGTATTGCTAGAAAAAGAAAGTGAGATAATTCACGACCACAAAATTCTAACCACTACAAATTAAAAAAGGATAATATATTCAGAACAACATTTCCAACCTGAGTTAAATCAATAAAATAATGTAAGTGGTAAAGAAGACAAGATGGATACATAAATGTAACAGATCAACTACTGATCCAACTTCATAACTACAAGAAGTTTAAAGGTCAAGATAAAAATTCAAAGTAACCCAGAATGCCGCAAGTGGCACGCTATATAAAAGCTGCAATTTAACTGGTGCCCAGAAAAGTATTTTACCTTCATAGGAACGAGACTTTAAAACTTTTTATTACCTATAATGAATAGGGCAAAATTTAATGAGATTTTAAATTTAAAAATTCATCATCTCTGAAACTGACATCAGATAAAACTTAATATTTACCACATACTTCCTGCACTTAACATGCTTGCTAAATTTTGTCAGAATCAGAGACAAACATAAAATTTTGGTCCCTAACTGTGTTGAATTGACCATCCCTGCAGTTCTCTGTACAGTTCTTCTTCACAGACTTTCACAATCCTAACGAGCTTGGGAAATTGGAAACTGTGAGCGCATAACTTAAAAAAAATCAAGAACTGTATAAAGACAAATATTTACAAATTATATATCAACTTCTGTACGCCATATCTTTCCTACCTGGCGAGGATGGGCTTGTATCTTCTACACCTTGTGACAATCTTTTCTTCGAACAGGGTTCAGGTGGAAGGGAATGAGAAGCCACGTTCTCATGCGTTGTTTCTGCTTCTGGTTGTGTTTGCTGATTTAATGAAGCGGCCTGCTGAGCCAGAAGTACACGAGATTCCAGTGACTTATGAAGCTGCTCTATATCCGCTGGGCTGGACTAAAACACAACCAAGCACATTTATAATAGATTTAAAAGGACAAGATTAGGAAATTAGTAGTAAACTCTTTATCAAGACTAAATAAGCTAAAAAACAAGCTAAAGAGGCAAACTCTCTGATAATGATATCTCACTAGCACACTGTTCCGTACTTTGCACTGAAATCAAATTTAAAGCCACACAATGCATGCAGACAAAAATTCCACTTTGTGTTCAATCTTGCTACAAGCATTCCAACTACAAAATTTCTAAGTAGAATTTGAGGTTTTCATGGTGGTGAGTCAGAAGATGGCTGTCTTCTGGGTTGTAGTACTGTGTAGTCTGGTAGAAGTTTACCAACATTTCAGAAGCACATCACCCTGATGGAGACAGCAAGGTCCTCCGAAATGTTGACAAACTTCTATCATCTATGTGGTGCTACTACCCAGAAGACAGCCAGCTTCATATATTAATTCTAATTGCATAGTGTTTGAGATAAAGATCCAGACATTTATCAACTACATCTTTGAATTTTTGCCAAGTAAACAGTTATGGAAATTTGTCAATTTTAAATAGCATATACCAGTAAACCGAACATATCCAAGCATCTATTTTCCTACAAACTGAGATAATGGAATACCAAATACCATTACATTTATAAGAAAAATGAGCAGAAGAAAAGTAACAGCATTACGGTTACTTTCAACGCCAATGTAATGTTGCATGCATCAATTAAAACTTCTCCTGTAACAAGTTAGGGCATAGGATTTAAATTCCCCCAATCCAAAAAGGCTAAAGAAAACTATGTTTTATGGATAGAGTCAATGCTCTTTGACTGGCTAACACGAACTATTCCAGTGTCTTCTCATCTGATACACTCACTTCATTTACATAACTGTACTCTGTCTCACAATCAGCAACACATTACACTAACTGCAAGCTAATAGTAAGTTCTGTTAGCTTCTTTATAAGCAGGATTTAAGGCATTGCCTGTAGTGTTCAAGGACAGCACTAGGTGCACTGGTGGCATGTGTATTTTTGGGAAGACTAGCGATGTATTCTTTGTGCTATCATTAACACAGTAGAATTCCAGTTATCCAACCAAAATGAGCTGGAAAGACAGTCAACTAATGAGAAATGTTGAATAATACAAAAAAAAGGCAACCATAAATATCAACTCAATTTATAATATTATTAAATTATGAAGAAAATACAACATCAAATAAAAATCTCATACTCAAAAAACAGTAATCACCATATTGAAAATTTGTGACAAATTAATTTTTTTGAGAAAACAGTAATGGATATTGGCATGGCACACTGGATAAAACAGAAACTCAGATAACAGGTCAGAGAATTGGGACTCCACCATACAAACATACAAAAATTTGAGGCCAATATCCTGACCAGAATGGAATACCTAACAGATCTATAGGAACAATCTTTAGTAAGTACATCAGGTGTCTACCAGATGTATACCAAAACAATTATCAGAAACTCATGTTCGAAGCACATCTGAAATATAGAAGGAAGTGACATGACAAAACTAGGCATACCATTACAGCAAGGTAATCATGACATGTGAAGCTCGTGAGTTAGTCTACACCAAAGAAATTCAACAGTAAACTTCCTACACGCAAAGTCATGGTAACCGTCATCCAGATACACTTCCTTCCGTCATCTATTCCTCTACATTATCAGACGGAATCCATTTGCATGAGGCAACGGCCAGCCTCGCTTTACCTTCGGGAAAGGACCCCGGTACCCATTGTGCAGGAGGCTAAGTGGGCCCCAGAACTAGTCTAGATGCAGAGGCAGGAGCAAAAATCCTCTGCCCCATTGGCAATCAAACCCCAGTTGTCCAGTACATAGCCAGTCACTATACCGACTGAGGTACCCTGGTTCTAGTTAGGTAATTATATGCAATTAAAACTGGCGTGTCTTTTTAGAAAGACCCAGTATAAAAATCAATGCATTATAATTTAATATAAAATCCAATGAAATAAAATTATTCTTAGAAATTCTGAAGCGATTTCATGCATACTGACATACTGCGCACACTTACAATTTAAATATTTTTATTGTCTTACATGCCTAGGTATAATAGGGCTATTTATACAAAGCTTACCATCACAAGAAACACTTTGATTTGACCACTACTGTCCATGGCAGTTAGACGAACACTCTTTGCACTGGGTCTATGTACAGACATCCCAGCCCAGATCTGAAAAAGGATTTCCTAGATCTATAAAAGTACATACATACAGTTTGATCAATGTACACATGCTACACACACAAAACATATTGTAGTGAATTAATTTCAGTTAACATATGGTAAATTAGGAAAGTAGAGATTTGAAGTTACATAGAATTAAGTATAGTAGACATTTGAATTTGCTAAAATGTAGGAATGTGTTGATGTCATTTCCTGGCATTGTATAAAATAGCAAGGCTAGCTCACCTTTCTCTAAGGGAAAGAAAGAAAATGAACCAGAAATGCAGACGTAGCCATTAGGCAGTCAGCAGAAATATTGGAAAAGTTGACGAGGGAAGTGGGAGATAGATCGCAGTCAGAACCGCCGGAACTTTGAAGATGGAAAGAGGTCACCGAAGCCATAGGCAAGGGGACGCTGATCAGGCTACTGATAACAGGTAAGTGCTGAGGCGATGACTCCGAGTATAGTACGGGTAGATTATTAAATCTTCAAAATTTCCGTAACCAGATTGTTGTTAAGATAAAGTGAACTAGCCTGAGTTAGGAATGTAATGTTTAACACAAATGTAAAATGTATAGTCTTTGGGAACAAGCTGCAGCTTCATGGACGAATCATCGTATCAGCTGAGTATGTTTAAGTTGACGACAGCATCCTTGTGAACTTTCCTTGCTCCATTCCAAGCCACGCTACCAACATTAGTAGGACTAAACCTATCTATAATATCATCATAATGACAGTCCTTGTCTAACAACACAGAATAAGTGAATGATGACAACATTTATAGTTAACTCAGCTTCTTAACCTCAACTGAAAAGGTCTTCATAGCACATGTATTGGTTACATCTTTCTACTCATAAACTTACTAGCAGTTGTTCAATTAAAAAATAGCATAGCACCCTATTAATAACATGTTGGGCAATATATGCACAGCATAACAATTGCGGTATGTCCAAGCATCATGCTTCGGACCGGTGATACGGAATTCGCGCTGGTTCGAGTCTCGGGGAAAGAAATTTCTCTTCAGATTTTCGACCGGTGTATGGGACCAGTGAGGAAATTGGGGAGCTACAATGAGTACCGTAATCCGGTCAGGAAAACTAGCAATGGCTGGGGGTTCGTCGTGCTGACCACACGTCACCCTATATCCGGTTGGATGATCGTTCACCTCTGGTTACACATGTGAACGTGAGGCCAGCAGTCAAGCTAGTCGGCTTTGGCTCTCTGGAGCTGTTACGCCACGGATTTAATTTTTAAACGGGTAGGGTGTCTCGTGCCTGTCACACTATGTAGTGATATCATGAAGGATTTCCTCATGAAGATGTTCAGATGACTGGGAATTCCCCTGATAACCATATTAACCAAGGTAGCATAAAAATTCCCCACTCAGTAACTTCCGTGTACAGAAATGCATAAAGTACCTACTGATATCTAGTCCGAACAAAATGGAGTGCTGGCCAGTTTTAGTTACACTCCTCAGTAACATATTTCATGAAAATTTGACAAGCAGTTCTCAACCTGTTGCATGTGGAAAGATGGACACAGTGAAGTTACTTTTTGAAACTTTAACTTGTGAATGAGCCTAACAAGATAAAAATGCAACATTGTCTCTGTATGTAGGCACCACACTAAGTAGGGGTACGGGGGTCTGCAAACAAAGCTCCATGCATTCTTCATCTCAGCATTACAAGGGAGATGAGTGGTCAGCTTCATGCCCTGGCTGCTTCACCTCAGAGAAGCAATCACTGGTATAGCAGGCTGATAGGGCAAAAGAGGTGGCCTGAATACTGCGGCAAAGATAAAAATCCCTGCCCCCCACGGGATTCAAATTCCAGAGACGTAAGTTGTGCATAATCAGATAAATAATAAAAATACTGTGCACAGTGATATATTTTCAAAACAGTCAAAGAATTAATTTTACATTACATACACACATATATAATATACCTTTGTGTTCAGTACAACCCTGAGACTCCCTGCTGTCCTAATCACGACTCGTGACTGAACACCTCCACCTCCTGGCCCACTGTCTTTATCATTGAGTCGAAGAGTGCCCCGTCCGCGCTCCACCCATGTACCACCAGCTTTGTCAAACGCAAACAGCTTGCAGTTTATCTGCATTAATATAATGAATTCAAGTCATTACATGAGATAAAGTGAACTGTCAGCATGTTTTATAATAAGATTGGATGAAGATAGCAAAATTACACAGTGAAACTTCAATCAGGATACTGAGTGAGATCAAAAAGCCTGCAACTCATATTATAATATTTACTGATGGCTGCAATTTAATACTACTCAAATGGATTAATAAACACACAACATCAATGTGACTTTCAATAGCTGAGTGCAAGGCTGTACTTTTCACAACATTTCTAGATTTTCCTGTGTCAAATAAATCAACAATCCTGTCTGGTGTTTCCATGACACAGGAAGTGTGCAGGAGAGAAACCAAAATTCTTCACCCAGTTACATCAAACACCGGGACAAAAGTGAATGCACTGGACATTTCCAGCACTTGATACAACATTGTTTTTTGTTTTACAATTTCAATGTAATTTATTTTTTGACTTTTCCATTTCCCTGTACTTTTCAAAAAGCCCTTCCAATAAAGTTATGGCACAGTCTCAAGAAGCCTTACTTACAACAAACACAATACAGCAGTCTGAATGGGCAAACAAAAGTACCATATTTATTAAAATAGCACCATGTGAGACAAATTTCCCATTTTTGGAAGACAAGAAACTGAAAACATACTTTCATTGCTAAAAAGGCTTTTCAGTCTCCACATCCACCCTGATGATGGAGATAGAGCAGCTCTCCAAAAGATTTGTTTTGACTCAACTTTGATTTGGCTGTTTGCACAACAGCATATAATGAATTATGAGTTTTCATAATGTTGAACTCAGTATTAACAATTTAATTACTAATGTCCCTAGTCACAAAACAGAGGACCTAATAATTTGTAAAACAAGACTGTAATACCTGGTCACATTTACCTGTAGTACATTAGCCTCATCTTCTTCACCGGTGACTATGGTAACCTCTTCGTATTTCCTTTTTACAGCTCTTGCCTCTTCATATTCCCGTGCTGCCTCACTTAAACTCTTGCTAGGTTTCTCAGCAATATCAATGGTGTTGTTGCTACTCATATGGCTACTCTCCTGCAAAAACAAAATCAATAATTGTAGGAGATTTTACTTTTCATTAAAAGTGAGCGAGGGTTAAGATTGTGGGACCTGAGAGTTGTGAGAACATGCAGATCACATGTACTCACAATCTGCTTGACACCCAGTACTTCACTGACTTGCTCGAACGTGATACTGAACTGAGCCTGTGCCCACCTCTCTTGCTCTCTCTCGCGCATGCAGATACAGATATCTCATATGCATGGTGGTATTCGAGGCTACTGCTAAATTGGACATCCTGGTGCTAACGAACTCTACACTACAAATTCCTGATAATTCCTTTTTGTACAAAAAAAAAAAACTCCTAAGTGATGATTCACATTTCTATTTCTATAGAAGAATGTATATCATTTGCTGGTTCAGTGCCACCCTTGTCTCATCTGGCATCCTGTACTCTCACTTAAATCTAGCTTTTATTTTGTTAATTTTCTTTATATCATTTCAATGAACTTGACCTACAGAAACTCCATCATACCAAGTTCCAAATCTCAAGTCAAGTTTCTGTTGCTTAATTCATTTCAAGTTCAAAGCCCCATGTAACATTTCGTAACAGGCTACTATGGTGACAAGGGACCCACTTAACAGTCTACACAGTGTATGCCAACAAAACAGCTTTCACTTTGATTCAGAAGTAATCTGATAATGCTATAAATTTTTCAAAGTGTCTTGGAGTAGGTACTATTAACTTTTTATCATTGCAAATCATAAATATATTTTCTAATTTTCCCATTTTTCCCATTTCTTCCAAAAAAAATTCCCATCATGACCCACAATTCAAAATTTCTGAGAACTTTATATCTTTAGTCACAAACCTGAACAACCTGAATATCCATTACTATTAATTCTGTACTACATCCCTATGAAAAGTTCATAAACATAACTTACATTGTTTTGGTCCTTCTTAATGACAGATGTAAACAACATTTCTGAAATACCATTTGCTGTGGCAGAAGCACATACTGTAGATATGCTCTGTAACAAATGGCACAATTACTGATTGTCATAAGAACCCTTAAAAAATTCAAACCCTGCATCCTTATCACAGAAGTGGGGGAAATCTCTCACAGTGCAAAGTAAAGCTGGAACACAATTCCTTGCACCATCTAAAATAACTCAGGTGAAACTGTAATAGAGGTCCAGTAAGCCAAACAGAAAAATGAATCAGAAATGGGTTTGCTAGACACATGCAAAGCTAAAGAAGGACAATTATATGTAGGGCAGTCAAAAAGTTCCCGAAATTGTGGTATAGCCGAACTCCGGAACATTCCAAACAAAGCCTTCCGCTGGTGCTTCCAACAATAGCAGGATTGATGGAGCAAGTGTGTGCACGCGCAAGGGTCCTACTTTGAAGGTGATTAGGTAAGCGTTGCCACATGTCCTTCCATTACAGTGCTATACCATAATTCCGGGAACTTTTTGACTGCCCCTCGTAAATGGGTGGTATGAAGGATTTGAGGTTTTCACGGCGAGTCTGAAGATTGCTGTCTTCTGGGTATTGCACCGTGTAGTCTGGTAGATTTTCATCTACCAGACTACACGGCGGGTGGTATGAAAGTAAATTAATTGATATAAAAGATACAAATGGGAAGGGAAACTGAAGTACATTATAACTTATTGTCACAAACAAATGTACCATTTAAATGCAACTCAAAAGTAGTACTACGGTACAATGACGAAATCAGGAGGAGGTCCACCTACAAATTTGACTCTCCCGAACTCCCTCATGACACCTGCGTCTAGGTCACATTTGTTGCTAGCCCACTACCCATGCCAGTTGTATTTAAAAGCTATACACGTGTAAAAATGGTACATTCACTGCCAGAACATGTTTTTATTCATGAAAACTACTTTGCACCAAAATCATTTGCCACTTTCGCAAATCATTTAGTAATATGTATCTTGACAATGAAGTACTGAATAAAATAACAACAGACTAACTGAACACACTTCTGGACACAAGACATGTTTGCTTGGGACAAACTACTCATCAAGTGACAAAGCTATTGGCTGTATTGATTTCAAGTAGTTCATCAGCTACAACAATGGTTTATGGCTGCATGAATGCAATATTGTCACTTAGTATTAAAGGACAAGAATTCAAATGGAACATCCTGTACAATAAATGTTAAACTGATACCAAGTGTTAAATTTTTCGGAGATTATAGACTGTTCTGGCTGTTTTAAAGAAACCCAAGAGTTGATAGATGATTGGTGGGTAAACTTATTACCTACAAAATGGCAACAAAAAGCCTTCAAAGTAATCATGAGAAAATGCAGATGCATAAATTAAGAGTTGGCAGACACAGATGTCATTATGATCCCTTAAAATACCAGAAATGAAACATTACTAACAGAAAAATTTCAATTTTCTTTTATTTTAAATTTTCAGGAATCATACAATTTAAAAGCAAAATGCCTACATTATAACAGGAATGAGGCACATTCAAAGGAATCTGACTTACATTTGAAGTTTCCGTTCCCTCGCATGTTCTACTTGTGTCTGTAGTTTCAAGACTCGCGGCCTCCTATAAAAAACGCAATGAAAAGTGAGTGACATCACAAAATTTGTATATTTATTTACACATACACATACAATACACCAAAAGAACAACATCAGTAACAATGGCTGAACAGAAACTTGCCAGCGAGCACTGACGGGATATTTCTTTTCATCTAATCTCCACATACACCTGTAACATTGCAGCTGCAGAAACAGCAATACAAGATAACAAACATTTGTGAATTACGGGCAGAACAACAGATCTGTATATCAGTACTTCACAACTCCGGTACACTCTGTGCAACAAAAATTAAGCACTTAAAGTTTTCTAAATCTGAAATTGGAAGAATGGGTACAGCTGGAATAATAACAGCCATCATTCACAATTACCTTGCATTTGTCCGCAAGTGACTTTTATCCACCCACCATTAATTAGATATTTATGCCAGATATCTATTGAGCAAAATAATCAGTATGCCTAATTGAAATAAAAACATAATTACTGTTAATGACATTTCAGAGACCTGTGACTAGGATCCATGGCAGTGTGCCGCAACTGGTACACATCAATAAGGCATCACATGTACCACAATTTTTTATAAAAAATTGTATATTCACAATACGTTACAGTAAATTATTAAATCTTAAATATTTATTTGTTTAAATTTATGCCTTTGAGAAGATGGCTGTCTTCTGGGTTGTTGCGCCATGTACTCTGGTAGAAGTTTACTGATGTTTCAGAGGCCCTCGCTGTCTCCATCATCAGGGCGATCTCATGATGGAGGTTTCTTTGTCTTTGAAGTGTGCATTTATGAGTAGTGAGTGACAAGCCTACTGCCTCTGCACAATTTCTACTCAATCCTGATTTGTCTGCTAGAGCCATCTAGTAGTGAATCAAGAGAGATTTGGGTGAGATATGTTCACTGAATTTTTCTTACGAAACATCTCGTACGGTTCTTTTACATGCCGTAAATCTACGACATGGGCCCGCCGGTTTTACTTCCCCTCCAAAGGAAGTTGTGCTACGGATTTTTATCACCCTTAAAAATCCATCGACCTCGGCCGGTTTAGAACCCGCGAACCTTGAGGTCCAGTGGCAAGCAAACTAACAACTATCCCAACGAGAGCGACATCAGATGACTTATACTTACAGCAACTCTTTCATGCAAGTTCTGACCAAACACAAACTCTGTCACTGATGCTGATGTACTGGATGAGGTCACAGCTGTGCTGGTTGTGGTAGAGACAGCACTTGCAGAACTTATACTTCCACATGGACTTGAACTAAAATGAAAACAAAATTCCTGGAATCAGAAATATAACCCGGCATTTTGCATTTTAATTACAGAATAAACAAACAAACATTAACTTCAACAACATCCTAGAACACAGTAATCTTCACAGATTAACACAGATCAAATTGATAGAACAAGAGAAGGCTGATGGTACACACTTAATAGGTAATGTTACTGAATTAGTAATTTTATCACAACGCACAATGCAGGACACTTATATCTTTTATTCAAGACAACTTTCTCTCAGGTCAATACATCAAACAAGAATTTATATTCTTTAGTAATATGGGCCTATAAGCAAATTAAAATGAATGGAACCCCCACACTGGAATCTCATACAATAAAAGTTTCATCAAAAATTGTCGAAGGATTAATATATAAATATATATATATATATATATATGTAATCCATAGTTAGTAAAAGAGCCCTTATATACGAAATGTCATCAAATTTTGACAAATGACTTATAAAATGCTCATAAAAGTTAATTTATGCTGTAACATGATGTGGTCCTTAAAATTATCCAAACTAACCAAAAAGGAAATAATTTGAAAAGAAATTGAGTCCAAGTTTACAGTACTACGTTTGATCAAAATTAGGCACATAGTTTGAACTCTGTTGCATACAAACAGGCAAATGGATAGAGATAACATGACAGATGACTTCCAAAAGTACCTAAAACATCATTCTATGTTAAGATGGCTGTCTTCCGGGTTGCAGTGCCACAGTCCGGCAGAAGTTTACCGAGGTTTCAGAGGTTCTTGCTGCTGTGAGAACCTCAATTCCTACTAATTATTCTATGCTGGCTACCAGTACATCAAACCATGTACTTGAAGGATTAAGTAAAAGCAGTCAAATAAAACTGTACCTTTCTTCTGTCTGACATGATGGAGTGCCAAGTGGCACAAACTTTGGAGGAGAAATAATTTCTGTCAGATTTTTCTGAGATCCACAACTAGTAACACTGCCTCTGTCCACCTCTTCTGAATTTGATTCTGCTGCACCCTTTCTGTTTTCTTTGTGCCCCACTGTTTCGATTACAGTGCTTGTGCTACATGTTTCTGGTGAACTGCTACTGCCACAGGCCCCAACTTCCTCTGATGAGGATGCTGAATTATCTTCATTTTTAATTCCGTCAGTTGCAGACGTTGATACACTGTCCTGGGGCACTGCACCATAAAGAACAAAAAATCTTTATCACCACATCACTTACGCCAACGACAGAACATTTTCTAAAATTATTTAAGAATAAATCAAATAGTATATGCAGTACAATAGCATAAGAACAAATGTATTGTTCATCAAACAGACTCAGAGAAACAATGCAGAAGGAATATGTACAGAAGATTTCGATAAACCACTCCATGTACTGTGCCTTCTCCTGCACGCTCAGTGTGTGACCTGATTTACAAATACAAATGCAGTGCAGTACGAAATAGCCGCTACCATCCAGCAGGAACTCAGTGATACTCTGAGAGTTTCTCTCACAGATTGTGCTCAAATAGTATGTCTACGTGTTTTCATAAAGGTTTTATTCATAAGTAAAGTTGTAACGATAATTTATATACACCTGTATAGTTTCTTCCATGCATGTTTGGTTATCAGAAATGTTCTACTTCCAAATTCTATACATCTGAGAGAATTGAGAATAGGGGGTGAAATATAAAACATGAGTTAATTAAATCGATAAAAAGTAGTTTGGGTTTTGCTATGCAAGTTGATGAATCCAATTACATTGCCAGACATACTGTTTTGCTTGCACTTGTGATACATGAATAAAAGTCAAGTTTAAGAGGAAATGCTATGTGCAAACCTTTGCCTATTAATCCCCCTGAAGATATTTTTAAATTAGTTTGCTTGTATATGGCCGAAAAAAACCTTAGTTAGTAACGATGTTCTGATATTTGAACAGATGTTGCAGGATTCATGGCTGGGAAAATGTAAGGTTTTATTATACATGTTAAAGCCAATACGCTGGGATGCACTAGCAGCCAGTAAATCATTTACTGTCAAGCTATTAATGTAAAAAGATTCCAAACGCAATAAAAACGATATTAGACATGAATATGAAAGATGTACATTTTTATAAACCCAAGACCACTAAAATAAAAAAAATTCATTCCACTCTTTGATAAAATGTGTAGCAGTTAAACAACACTATTGCTGCTCATTAAGGTTTGATGGTAGAACGCTGGGGTCCCGGGTTCGATTCCCGGCGGTGCTCAGATTTACAACTTGTGTTGTTGGGCAAGGCCGTGGTCCAGGCATCACAGTTTTTTCCCACGGGGTTTCCCCGGTTTCTCCGTGGCATCCCAACAATTACTCCACTTTCATCATCGTTTCGCAAAAGGTGGTCACAGCAGGAACGTTAAATGTTGCGGTCCCTGTCGAACCCATGTACCGATGGGTCGTGAATCCTGCTAACCACCAATGCACACCATGCTGAATGGTGCGTACTGGACATGAAAAAAAAAACTGACTAAACAATAAACTTGCCTCTAGCAAATGGATTTCCAACAGATGGCAGTTTCAAGGACAATGTGCAATGAGATGTTGCTTGCTGTGAAGAGTCAGTGGTTGCGAATGCCAGCTGCGACGGTCGCAGAACCACAGGTTTGGGTAAAGATGATGAGATGGCACAGCTTAATTTTGACATTGTTCCAAAGGCTGCTGGTTTAATAGCAAATGGGTTGCCACCAGAAGCAATGTTGCTGAGGTGAGCTGAGGCTAAAACAGATGAACCTACAGACTGTAAATAATGTTACATTTCATAGTTCTCATAGCAGTGAATATATAGATGGCTGTCTCCTGGACTGTAGTGCCATGTAGACAGGTAGAAGTTTAAACTTTAATCAGACTACACAGTGCTACAACCCAGTAGGCAGTCATCTTAATAATAATTTTTAGGTATTTAAATGTTCCATCCCCTCATTAAGCTGTTCAACCATAAAATTAAAACAAATGTAATTTTCAGTTATGAAATTTAAAATAAAAATATCTGAAACATATAACTACAATAAATGCAGCTTTTGAAAAGTAATAGTAATTTGTAAGTATTTACACATGAGTTCCATTTAAAACATAAAACGAACCACAACAGTATTTGTAAGATTTGGTGACATCAATGAAACAACACAAACAAGGTGTGTTTTAGTTCTGACTTGTTAGGACGAATTATGTAACAGCTTTATAACAGATGCTAAATATGTTCGTCATCCTATCAAAGATAAGCGACCAACTGAAATGTTGTTACAAGTCAGTGTACTGATACCTTATTTGGTACTTCCTTGTAAGGATATGCATTGCTAACTGCTTCATGAACAGCAGCAATCAATATAAATGTGCAGTAATTTTCAAGAATGAACACAAATTCTGCTAATGAATATAATATCTTCACATCTGCACAGCATTTGTGCACAACTGACATGAGTGATTCTACTGCTTCCTTACCAGAAATAATAAGAGTCCCATGTTTTAAAGTACATTTATCCTTCTGATTTATTGCATACATGTGAACAGAAATAATATTAAGAAGCTGGGTTGTAGTCTGGCAAAAGTTTACCGATGTTTCAAAGGTCCTTGCTGACTCCATCAATAGGCAAGTTGGTAAACTTCTACCACACTACATGGCACTAGGACCAACCACAATAACCTCAAATCCTACTTAGAAAAAATATTGATAAACATAGTTCATTCTGCAGTTATAAGTGAACAATTACAGTTACTGTTTCTCATATGTGCATACAATCAGTAAAAGAATTAACATCGACATTTCCAAGGATTTTCAGTGTCTGCAAACAAGAAAAGTAAAAGGAAAGAAATACTTGGAAAGAGAAAAGAAAGGAGTTTACTGATCAGCTGAGTGACCATTAGCTTCCCAAGGATAGCTCTACTCCAAGCAGTTAATTAGCTATGTTCTGCCCTGTAATACAATATTTCATTTACAATTTTTAAATGCATTTGTGATTCAAAGGCAACATATTTTTGGACACTTATGTGCCATTCCTTTTGTAGAGTCATCACTGATCATTCATGTTGCTACAAGCTGTACTTTCTGGCCATGTATATTATAAAAGTTTCACTACACTTATGTTAGTAATTACCTATTTTACCACTGCTTCCAAATATAGGTTTGCCAGAAGACGAAGTATAAGTAGCTGGAGAGCAGAAAGCTTTTTTCCCTTCATTCTTACAAGTGGCTGTTTCTTCCTCTGGCACATCCACCTTCATCACTATATTAGATTTCTGCAATAATGATCTTTCCTGTCAACATCAAAAATAACATATAAAAACAATATTATTAACATAACAGGGATATTCCAACTACCCACTTTATACTGTTTACAATAATTTGAAATTGTGGAATACAATTCAGAAACAAGATTTATTGTATTGAATATATACACACTACTTTCAAGCAAATGTAAAATGTGTGTCAAATATTTTTATTTTGTTTTTAAGCAAATGCCATGTGTAGTAGACAGGTACCATAACTCTAGCAGTCCCTCAACAACCATGGCATTACGAAATGTAAATTTCAAGCATCTATCATTTTCCATTTACAAAAAATATTAAAAAACCACAGCATATTATTTCATCTACCAGTGGCTTTTACATGTATACATACAGATAAAATCAGTACCTTCCATACCAAGATACTTATTTGATGAAGGCAGGGATAAATAAGTTTATAGCTTCCACATTTCCATCACAATTCTTTTATGACACCTTTCATGCATATTTACATCCCTGCAGAGTGGCTATTGAAATCAACCAGTCTGTCCATAAATAAACATGTAATTACTTGAAAATGGCTAAATCGATATCCATGAAATTTTATATTGGCAAGTTTTACTAAAATTTGTTAACAACAATAATGGGCACTTTACATGCACAACTGCATGTGCTTTTAAACTGAGAAGGCTGGGTGGGGAATCCCCACCAGGGAATACCCCTGCCATTCTCAGAGGTCAAAGGTTAAATTCCAGCCAATGCACCAGAAATTTAAACTATGCATACATGGCCAATGTAGTTTATACTTCATGAGTAATTCATTTTCAAACATTTTACTGTATATATTCTGGGTTTAACATTTATTGTATGTGAATAAGAGATTTTAATCCTGATATTATGGGCCTACCAGTTGGATTTTAGCTCCATGATTAACAATTTAGTGGTATGCTTGTATGGTGCATGGCCAGCTGGACCTAGTATAAGCTGCATCACACAGATGATAAGCTTAATGAAGATATAGGCAATTTAATTAGGATTTGATAAGTGATGCAACCATCATAGACACTACAATCCTGTGTCACAATAAGGACAAGAATGGTTGGTGAGGTAATGATGTACCAAATTTCAGTTATTTAAGCACAATTCTTTTATGTAAACATTAGTGACAAACAATAAAGAGTTATATTTTTTGTGTATGCTAAGAATGTATTTTATCTTCTTTGAAATGAATATCTTTTCATGTATGTCTCATTTATAATGTCACAGCCTGGTCATGAAAATGCATGGCTATGGAATGGACAGGGACTGCTCATCAGCTAAAGTGGTGCAACTTTCTTTTTCCTTACTATCATGTCTGAAATAGCTCTGGAATCTCTCCAGCCTTCTATCAAACGGGCAGTCAGCACTTTCTATTTTATTCTTCTTCTTGGGGGGGGGGCAGCAAAGGCAGCCACAGCATTGCCACTCATCTCTATCTACTGCTCACGTCTGAGAATAGACCAACTATATGCCTTGAGACTTGTTTACACTTCATTTTCACTTTACTTGGATTCACTTACAATATCATATAATTTATACGAATGAAAAACATTCAGTTCTGTTCCACTACACTTCACTTGACTTTGATTTTATTTCCAGTATCTTACAAAAGACAATAAGAAATGAGAAACATCTACTTCATCACATAACACTACAGTTCAATTTAATTCACTTTCCCTCATTTCATTTCACTTAACCACAGTTCACACATTCTAGGATCGAGTTATAACATATCACTTACAATGTGCAGACTATAAGAATTTCAAACTAACACTAAATAAATAATACAACACAGTTTACGTTTACATACAATGAAATAAATTTAACCTTATCAGAAATTTCAGTATGAAAACAAAATGGCAAGCAAGAGAGAACTATTCCATAAGCAAACTGTTGTCAGTAGGATACTTGACTTTAGTGGAAACTGTATAAAATTATGACCCTAAATATAGTAACATTAAAAAATCCTAATCTGTCCAAATTAGTTAACAAATTAATTGCACAATGTTGTATATATTACAGTTACAATCAGAAGTCTGCAAGTACCAATATGGTTGATATGTACTTGTTCATGTTGGTAACAAATATCTGTTACATTTTAGATCCAATCAGGAAAACAGACCAGATCCTTCAGTTGTCTGTCTTATAGGCATGAGTCATAAATACACCAGTAACGACTAGACTGCAACTAAAATGTGTGTCAGTGGTGTAGTTATTTAGAATAAAGTTAAAAGTATGAAAATTTCCTGAGAAAAAAACAGACTGACTTCATATTTATGGGACAGAATAAAAGTGTACATATAAACTATCACATCTGGTTTTTCAATCTGGGTTTCATACTTTCATTGTGAAAAATGGCCAAGATACTGAATTTTATGTACAAATGTTTAGTCCTATAATCGATTGGCTGCCATAACAAAATTACACAAGTGGTTAAATGAAATGTATAAAATAAATTCATTTACTGGAAAACCCACAACAAAGCAAAATGTTTCAATAAAAATAACTGAAATCAGATTATATCGAATTGCACAACTGTGACTAATAACGTTTCCAATTATAAATACGAATACATCTATGAAGAAATCTGTTTGTCTCTAATTATAACGAACTGATAAACAAGTGTCCACTGTGTGACTGTGCAATTTGGACTGTTGTGGTGAATAGTATTTTGGAATATTTTCTATTGAATTTCTGGCCATTTCCTAAATGCGATATGCTGCTTCCTGACCTGTACAACAACTTGCTTCCTCGTATGCATGGGAAGCATCTGTATCTAGTTATCATGCATACTTACTGTTATACGACCGCTTAGAATACTGCAGCTAACCTCCAAAGTTATTAATCATAAAATACAGAATACTTTACCTGCATGTTATTGGAGTTCCCTGTTTGTCCATCCATCGGAGAAGCGGTGTCTAAAATAAAGAGCATGGTATTAAACAAGAAACTCAAAATGCCTACGGTAGTTTAACGGGGCTAATACAACATATATAAGGTTACATTAGAACAACACACACTGATGATAAATCCACTCATGACAACACTTACATACAAAATAAAATTACTCTGAACCATATCAAAAATAAAAGGTAATATAAGTCTTCAACATGAGAACTTCTTATCCTCAGCTCCAACTAAAAATACAGACAATGAAAAGAAAACAAGCAAATACTTTTACCATTCCGCAAGTCCGCCATACTATTTCTACAATTCAATAGTACTCAACTTGGCCGAAAACGGCGCCATAAACGATGTCAAAGCTGAATATGGTTGACTGTCAACTTTGTGATGTGGTAGTTTTAAGTTTAACTTTCTGTGAGTTGTTTTAGCAACCCCTGTGTCACACGTTAGGGCGGTAATTTCGAATGAATAACAATCATATTGATTTATAAAAATAAAGGAAAACCTTTTTGTGGTCGTGAAGAAGCATAGTCAAATTGGAATTAAAACTTTTAGTAACTTCCAATGTGTATGTTGTGTCCCCTAAACGTGGCTACGTAAATTCGATATGGGGGGATGTGATTGAGGCAATTCATTGATTTATTTGCTTCAGTTAGAATAACAAGCATGTGTTGGTCTTACGAGTTGTAATCCCATGTGAATACCAGTATTTCTGGTGAATGTACTGCCTTCACATTCAGAACCGAAGATGTTCCTGTTAAGTGTTTGTATTTAACTTTAAGTCCTTATGGTGTTACAACCCAGAAAACAATCATCTTTACCATCATGAAAGCAACAACTCTCATAACTGAATCAACATAAACTGAAGCAACCAAAAACCACCCTAGCTTACCAAAGCTCTTGATATCTATACTTACCATCAGATTTGATCACCTTCAACATCATTATTTTTACCTACCTTACCTGCCTGTATCATCAATCACCCTTGATCATATATAACATAACTAGGTTTACTTCAACTTAAGCTACTTCAAGTTATGCTATTTAGATGTTAGCATGTGTGGAAGAATGGTTCCATGTGGTTTAAACACCAGTGCTAGATGGAAGTGAGAAGTCATTTTCATGCTCAATACTTCGCAAAAATGGTCAGACAACCACTGAATAGGAGACGGTTGCTGAGCCCCAGGGCCAGTCCTCATGGTAGCACATATGATCTCAGTGATCCAGCCCTTAGCTGATCAATATACTGAGCTATTCCAGTTACAAGTTATCTTGAGGAAACCAAACTAGCTGCATAAACATTTAACAACAGAAGGCCAGTTTCATGCAGAACAAATGTGGCACTGAAAATTGTAAAGCTAGAAAGTGCCAGACTCTCAAGCAAACTCACAAATGTTTTTAAAATGTTAAACACTTTCTTTCAGAAAACTAGTCCTATACGAGTGAACCATCACACAAATACTTAGGCATCACAAATACTGACAATACCATTAAACTACAGCATCAATCTGAATAAAGAAACCAAAAGTTTCAAGACTGCCTTATACTGTATTGAATCTGTTATTGATAACTAATTAAATTGTCAGCTGAACACCTTGTGAACAAGTTATTATATTAGCCACCAATCCTAGTGGAACTAAAGTATACTTTACTGAAATTAAAATATCCAACAGCATGAAGGAAATATATCAGATAATTATGTTTCACATGTCTTGGTTATAATACAGTCAATGTAAAATACAAAAATGTATATAACATTGATACCTTGTCAATAGTACCACTAGTAGTTACTGCATTTTACATCAACTTTCACATAATTCACCTTGTGGCGCTAATACCTTACATAAACTTCAAGACCTTTTGTGGTAAAGACAATAAATTAAAAGTCTGGAAAACTGTGAAAAAGGAAACTGGTAAACCTTCTACAGATGAGTGAAGATAATGATAATGTAATAAAGTCCTAAATCATAGCAAACTCTTTTAATACTTCTTAATAATCGTAGGAATAATGAACAGTGACACCAGAAACTCGGCAGAAGATGTAACAAAATATCTAGCTAAAGCTATTCCTAAAGCCTTCCTAGATATAAATAAGAAGTAGAAGCAACTAAATTTCTTGGCATACAAACTGACAATCACTTAAATTGGAGAACACATATTATCCCTGAACTAAATTCAGGATATCTCACTATGAAGAAATTAGAGGCACTTATGAAAATAGAAACGTTAAAATTAGTCTACTTTGTTTACTCCCATATGGAATATTATTCTGGGAAAATTCAACACACAGAAGAAGAAAAAAGTATTTTACATCCAAAAGAAAATCATTAGAAAAATGGCAGGTGTTAATAGAATAGTCTCTTTTAGGGTGTTATTTAAGAAGTTTAATATTCTCCCACTAACCACTGAATTCTTATTTTCGTCATTATAATTTGTTGTGGGCAACACGGGAAAATTTCAAACAAACTCAGACATATACAATATGAATACAAGATACAGACATAACCTTCATTTGCTAAACAGTAACCTCAGCAAATATCAAAAAGGAGTCTACTACACTGGAATTAAATTATTCAACAATATTCCTTCTATCATAAAAAGTTCAAATCTTAACATAAAATTATTTAAGCCAGCACTAATAATATCTCTTAACTTACTCCTACACGGTAGAATAATTTACTTTAAACAATTCTCAGTTATTATAAATACACATAATAATGGTGGTGATTCCTTGATGTAATTACTTTACTGTGATACTGTTTTATATCTTTAAATAGCTGTTAAAACTATGTATTTAATATACTGTACTGTATTGCTATTATGACATATTCTGCATTCTTGGCTCAGGCATATGAAGGATTTATGGAATGTAAATAAATTCTATTCTATTCCATCATTGGAAACATAAAACTTACACACATTTCAGTTCATAAAACTAAAATTCAAATTGTAAACTTAAGAGTTCAGCTTAGCAATCTTTATACCAAACATAACCATGATACTGGTGTATCATAGTTATAAAAGAGTAAGTCAAAATCACAAATATGACACTTTAATTACACAAAATCAATATTATGTTACAGACATGATCAGCTTAGCCTTCTTTCAATTTGTCTTTTCATCTTGAAGATATGAAGTTGCAAGTCTCTCCAAGTCATCAAGACTCAAACTAGAAATGGAACGATAAAAATCTTTCATAAATTCATCAGTTATCTTTTCTGAATCATTTTCATTATAAAACTGTAAGAGAAACTTGTAAATAGCATCCTTTAGAACAGTCTTGTCCTTTGGTTCTGGAGCAAATTTGTCTTCTTTCATAGTAGTTTGGTAACTGGAGACTCCTTGGCCCTTAAATAATAAAAATAAACAGTTACATTTTCAATTTTATAGATCAGGGATATTTGACGATGTAAGCATGAAAATGGTTATACATAACATAATATACATACAGACACTTGGTGGTACAAACACTAATATTTATAATATGGGTAACAGGACTTTAAACCCCTGTGCCAGCCATTCTTTAACTACAGAGTTCAATAGTTCAGAAGTATACTACTGTGATGGACAGCCAGTTGGACTGCATGTAAGCAGAACAGACATTAAATTCTTAGGTCACTATATTCAAACATCCATATTACCTACTTTTGTTTGTTACTTTTCACATAAAGTGCACTAAATATTGCAATCACGAATGGATTGGCATAACACACACTAGTAAAATCCAAGAGAGTTGGTGAGCTACATGCAGACTGGAATCAAGTGTACTGCAAACATACACTGGAAAAATTTTGAAATAAAAATAACCGTGAAAATACCCAACTTCATGGAGCCATCTTATGAAGATCCTCTCCAGTCAACCAATCAAGAAATTCTGAACTTTCATGGACCCCAAAAGTTCTTTACCATGTTCACAGGAGCCAACCACCGGTCCCTATCCTTAGTCAAATAAATCCTTTGATCCTGTTCCCTAAACATCCATTTTCCTATCATCCCATTTTTGCCTAGGTCTTCAAAGTAGTCTCCTCCCTTCATGTTTTCCAACCCAAATTACTAAAAGTACAAATAATGTAGCTCATTATTCACTGGCTCTTCATCCCTCTCAGATTTAAATATTCCCCTCAGCAGCTTGAAAGACAAATCATCAAAGCAACATTCTTATCGCGAAGGCTGCTGCAAAAATTATTTCGACGCACTATGTGCCTCGAAACAGTCAGTCACATGATATTCTTGTAGTGACAGAAGCACGAGTTGTATTCCATACAATCTGATAGTTGTACTGACAGTAGTGCAATACACAGCACCTTCACATTTGAATTCTTGAATTCTACTGTTTCCCAGCATACTTACGTTCTGTTTTCACTTTCAAAATATGTCCATTCAAACACTGTAAAATCTAGGAGTAATGATAAAATAAGACTTCAATTTCATTGGCTACCACAGATTAGTTTCCTATTCTGTTACTGAAAATTTCCGAGATTCAAATGAAATTTAAAAAACATTAATTAAAACAAATCTTAGGAAACTAATTTGTAATTTGGATCTTTTCTTCTTCTGCAACCAAGAGTTATTGAATATAACAGATTTACATACGCCATGTAGATAATCAAACCCATAGATAAACCGTTGTGCCACAGATTACAGATACACCTTTTCCCGTTGGGATTACCAGTTGGTATTATCTATGGACGTCAATGATATTACATTAATGAACACAACATTCAAGCCTATGTTATTTATAATGACAGACAATATGCATTAGTTTTCTTCAATATGTACGGTCAATGAATACAGCGATCGATCTAAATTTTAGAAACGAAGCTGCTCGTGTCCGGGAGCTCGTTCTGCTCTAGTAGTTTGTTGGATGCTGTGGGAGGGGTGTATGCCAAAATTCCTCAATTGAATCAAGGAAGTCATGACGTAAAAATAAACACTTGCGTATACAGAACGTGTAGAAGACAATCAGAAGTTGTCTTTGTGCTAGGAACACTGAAGAAATCAATAGATTTTTGGGTTCATTACAAAAATAGTGCGAAAGTGAAATTGAGTTTAACAGACAGGCATTTTTGCTGCTTCAGGACATCTTACATAATTAGTTGCCTCAGTTCTTGTATGATGTAAATGAAATGTAACCAGTAATGCTATGGCCGCAAGTCGGGACAGGATTGTGTATAATGAGGACTCTTTCTTTCGTTGTAACGTCTTCTGTCATTGGGGAATAAAAGTCCGTTCACCATCCAGGAGCGTTTCGTTGTGAGGATTTGGATCCACGACAAACGACGAAGTGGTTTTGTGTTACAATGAAGTGTTCGTTTTGAACAGTCTATTCTTTACACAAGTTTCATATTGCTTGAAGACTTGATCTCATCACTGGTGAATCCCTGTTCTATTTCATCAATAACTCTACTTTCTGCTTTATACTAAGTTAAAGTTACTTTATTTTCGTTTTACCGCATTCCTCGGAACTCATTGTTGCCCACATAGACATTTCAAAGGGCAAAAGTAAGTACTAAATAAAATCGTTACTGGCAAATCTTACAATATACCTAAGCACTGACTAAACAAGACCAAGTAAGAAGCTGTCTTCTGCTAGAGGTAAGGAGACTGTCGAAAGTGGCGCTACTCGCACATGGTTGTTTAAGAACCGCAAAACCCCACCTTTGAATATGACAAGTGTTGGAAAGTTCCACTGTGAAAATACCGGACAGAATCAGTTTTTTGGTCCATCCGGATTCTGGTCTGTCAGACTCAGGATAAGATACTATATTCTTACTTACATACTCTTTCTACTTTTTAGACGCTTATTATTGTTATGTTTTATACTATTTCTAGTTCGTTTTTTATTTGTTAATTGTTTGCCGTCCTTCCCCTATTATTGCCGCTCAAGGCGACCACCTAATTTTCCTAACGGTTACATCGGCAATGTCCATGCGACGTTTAAGTAAGGCTGCCGCAAGTTTCGGTCCACATTTACCATAAAATTAGTAAACATGACATAGGAATGCTGCAGTAGGGATGTGCAACTTTACGGCATACCTCCCCAATCTTGGCATCCCATCTCAACTCCCCCCCTCCCCCCCAATTGATGAATGTGCGACGCAAAGTCTCGAAATGTTTATATCTGGGCAAAACAAAATCATCATTTATTTATTTATTTGTCAAACTCATCTTATGATGTTGGCTGAAGTTGCCACTGAACAGATTTTTGGACTGTGTTTCTTTGGTGTGTTCATAGCAGGTGAGAGTCATCTGGAGCTGTTGTCCCATTGGTTAATTCCAGAATATGATAATGCAGGCCATTCAAACAGTGAAATTGCATAACAAGATGGGACACCAGCTCCTTACACAGCTGAAATGCTTGCTCTCTTGAACAGCCAATTTACACTGTGGATTGGGTAACATGGACCTCTTTACCTAGCCTCCCAGAAGTTCCATAGGTTGTTCATTATCATGTTTGAAAAAGGTTCCTCTGGATCCTGTGTCAGATTAATTCAGTCCACAGTGTCACTCTTTGGAAAATCCATTTTAAAATTTTCTTATGATCCATGCCATCACCTCCCATATGACCCCTTCTGTTCATGTTTTCTGACCAATCTCTATGCATTTCAAATGTGTGCTACATTCCCCACCCGTAACTTTTTAGTAGGTGTATATTTTTCCCCATCTGTTCCATAAGTAATGAAAGTTAACCTTGTATTAAGTTGCTTAAATAGCTAAAATAGTATAGGATATATATAAGTTAACAAACTGATATAAAGTGAAATAAAGTTGATTTTATCAGTGATAGACCCAAATTATTTTTAAGTGAAATGAAGTAAAATTATACAAAGTCCTCAGTATTATAATAAATGCCATATTCCATTTTAAGTGTTCTGCGACTTTCAGTGTAAGTGCAGTGAAGTGTATTTATCATAAAGTAGGTCCACATAATTAATCTAACCATTTTTATTAATGGTTTCTTTTGAATGTAAGTATGTTCTGTGATATGGCAGATAAGAACAAGTCTGAGTTACCAGGCAAATGTGGTTCTTGCTGAAGGTAATATAATGGAAGTGTATTATGTGATAATTGCAATTGGTGGCTTCACTGGGAATTTGCCACCACCAATGGTAATGATGTAGTCATAACTAACTTATGGTTTTTTTATGTAGAGGCTAGGATAGTTAGAGAACAAGAGGAAACTATTTTGGATTTGTAGAGGTAGTTAGCTTGGGCATATGATGGGATTAATAATTTGAAAGCTGAAAACAGCTCTAGTATTAAATTAAATTGTGTGTCCACTTAATGGACTGAAGAAGTGCAGTAGAGAAACATAAGTCTTTACTCCAGTAATGATCCAAACATTAATGTAAAACTGAGCTACAAATTTGAGGAGGCTTTAAACTATGTCAGAACTTTCAGGAATTGATCAGTTAAAAAAAAATGAGAATGCTAAATTCATAGTCATTAATAACAAGTGGCAGATGGTCCTGCTTCTAGTCAGTAGTCATTGTAGAGGATTACATGATCATCACCACTCAGTCCTAGGCTATGAATGTGTGGTTACAAATATATTCAAACCCAGTGCTGTACTTGCTATTGGTGTCAGAATTTGAAGCACCAAGTAAAGACATGACTAAGGATGATTATCATGTACAAGTACCCACCCTCACAGTTTGGTTCGTTCAGCTGTCGTCAGGGAATTTGCCATTCATCCACTGCGCTTCATATTAATTGTAGTACAGCCAAGAAATTCCGGGACTCAAGTCTAGATGCAGCCGCTCTCAAACAAGGTTACTGCTGCAGCGAAAGATGCTCTGAGCTGTACAGCCAAAGTAATTCCAGAACTGCTTTCAGCAACTGTACCAGTGATGGTAAAATTTGTTATGGCTCAAGATGGGTACTCTGAGGATGGCTGTGCTTGGGTTGATTCCAAGAATTTTTTTTTACTACTGTAGTTTAGAATGGATTGTAGATGGGGTCCTTGAGGTACCCTGTTTGACAGTGGAAAAGGATGTGACCTATCCTTTAAATTATTTCCTTAAATTACTTGAGGGAACCTAGAGCCGGGATAGCTCAGTCAGTATAGTGACTAGCTACGGGCTGGACGGCCGGGGTTTGATCCCCAACAGGGACAGATGATTTTTCCTCTAGCCTCTGCGTCCAGACCGGCTCTGGGGCCCACCTAGCCTCCTCTACAATGGGTACCGGAGTCCTTTCCCGGGGGTAAAGCCGGCCGGGGTGTGATGCTGACCACTCACCCCAAGCACCTTTACGGCACGTAGCGGGACAAACTTTACTTTTACTTGAGGGAACCTATGTGAAATTTATTGCAAGTAGTCTCCTGGTTAAATTACTGCCTAAAGGATTCTGACTAGCAACCAGTTGCAGGATTACTGTTGTAAAGGCTTTGCTTTAGGTCTGTAGTTCCATGTCATACTTAAACATGTAATAAATGGTGCTTTGAGTTTGGTATAATGCCATGCCAGAGAAATGGCATAACATTTTTATTATCTTAACTTTGTACAAAACAAAATAAATGGTAAAAAACAAAGATGTATTACACTGTCTCACTGGATATTTACAAAGGAGCTACTATGTTTTATGCTACTGTGTACTTCATTCTTTAACATTTATCATGATTTGCTATTTACTGTAACAGCGCCCAGTTGTTGAGCAACTGACATTATATTTGTATTTAAAAATTTATGGATGTGGTATTAATAAAGACCATATTGTTCATATTAATGAAATTTCATCATCTCTACTATAAATTAATATTTTCCTCAGTATTAGGTAGGAATTCAGATTCAGTGAGATGTATAATTTTGTTATCAATTCATTTCAACGTGAGTGAAATAATTTAGGTTATTTAAGTTCATTTTGCACCCACAATGTTCAGTGATGATCAAAATGTTGCCAAAGCAGTACTTTTGAGTTTTTATACCATCAAGCAACAGAATATATGTGGTTAATCATTTTCAAAAGTTTCTCAGTAGTATGTTGTAAAACCTACCATGTATTGTTTAAGTGGAACTGCACTAATGCATTGTCGCTTTAAGTTTACAGCAGCACAGTAAATTATTAACAGTCATTGCTGAATATTATTATGTATTTATATCATGTTTTAGGTACTTTTGTTTGATATAGTTGACCTTGCTACTTTAAGCGATTCTCCCCCTTTACCGAAATGATGTCCGCTCAGAGGGTCCAGTCCATCATATTCTGTGTTACTGTCATCATAATATGCATAATCATAGGATGCATCATGAGTTTTTGAACCAGATATGGGAGTTTTCTTGGTGCCACTGTTGGCTGCAATATTATCGTATTCAGACGTGTGCGCTGTTGTTGAGCTCACAGAATAAGCATTATAGTTGCTGTTTCTCTGTTCCTGGTAGTTTACTGTTGATGTAGGCTCTTTGCTTGATGGTAGTGCGATGGTCTCAGTTGGATAATTTTGTGACGCTGTTATTTGAGGCTTTCTGGTTACTGGATTTGTTGCTGCTATGCTAAATGGCCTTGGTGGAACAGCTGTAGTTTCTGAATAGTAATTATTGTTACTATTTGACGACTGTTTGCCTAAGTAATTTGTTTCTGTACTGGTGTATGACACAGTCTTGGGAATGACATAGTAGTCACTACTGTAATTTTGCGAGGATTTACTGTTTGTAGCGGTGGTTGATGTGTAGTTGTTTACCACAGGTGTGTTAGTCTTGCTGTTAGCGTTGTAGTTCTGAAATGTGTTGAAACTATTGGGCCTGTAGTTATTGCTGGGCGCTGTTTTCAAAAACTCGCCATCTTTGTTGTCATCAGCTGCGGCAAAGTCACCTGTAACGGCACTGTTACGGCCAAAGTTGTTGTTTGTTCTCTGGTAATCGTGGTTGTTGAAGTTATTATAATCTTCACTGGTTTTCCTCTCATAATCTTTGTATGTCTGAGTGTTTGCAGCTGGACTCAGTGTTGTGGATATAAAACCCGCAGTAGATTTTGTGTTTGAATAGTCTGTGCTTCTCTGGTTGTAGCTGTTACCAAATCTCTTCTGATTATTACCACTGCTATAAGCATCACTGATATAAGGTGCAAAGGTTGTGGGAGAAAAATTAGTAGCGGTATTCTTAGCATAATCATTTGTTGCTTTAGACTCTTGAGCATTGTCATTGTGATTACTTTTTGAGCTTAATGGATAGTTTGCTGTTGTTGAATAAATGTCTGTGTTAGGTCCATTATTTTTATTGTTGTATTTCTCTGAATTTGTACCTCTCTGCTGCTGGTAATTGTTGAAATAACTGGCTGTTGTTTCAGTTGTTGAATACTGTATCAGTTTTGGCTCTGTTGATTTCTGTGCAGAGAACGTATTGTAGTAATTGGCAGTGTTGTAGTTGTTTTCTTGAGTATTAGCATTATTTTCTGATTGTTTCTGGTGGTTATAATTACTGGAAACCACATTGTTAGGCACTGGTGGTTGTGTAGTAGTGCTGCTCTGAGCACCGTTTCGCTGGATTGTGTTGTAACGAGGCTGATGGTATGTGCTACTAGTTCCTGGTGTTCTGTCATTGTTAGCAGCAATGGCACTTTCGGTTGTTGGTGTATAATTGTTGCTGGCGGTGAATGGAACTGGTTTCTGGTAATTCCTGACATTGTAATTTTGTTGCTGCTGATTTCTAAAACCATTCCCTTCGTTATTGTAGTTGTAATTATCAGGGTTAGAACCACGACTGTTCTGAGTAGAAGGAACTGATGTAGGTTTCTGAGTTGGATAATTTTCCCCTTCTTGAGCAAAATTGTTGTTTGGGCGTCTGACGAGTTTCCTCACGGCTACTTTCTTCTTGTTTCCGCTGGATGGACGTCTATAGCTTTGGTCATCTTTGAGGTCCCTGTAAGTCTCATCTTCATTGTCGTCGTCATCATCTTTGTCCTTGTTGTTGTTGAAGAAATTGCTACTGCTGCTTCCTCTGTTGCAACAAAGACAGTTACATTTGATCAAACAATCATGAATGTTCTGTCATCAGTTTTAAGAGGTTGAAAAGTATCTTTTATTATAATATGCTCTTCTTATAATATATTGTTCATCTAAAAATAAATAAAAAATGTAGTAATGGAAACATAACTTCCCAAATTTTATTTATATTACAAACTATCAATTGTTTTATTTCATTGAAGTCTTCTTAGGCATCTGGCCTTGTAAGTATACAGTTGCAAACCCATGTTTAGGATCCTGTCTCTACTTTCAAGGTCAATGGAAGCTTAACAGACTTTGTGTTTTAGTGCTGTTACTTTCAAATAAAGAGACTTCAAGTTTATAACATTTATTGTGCCAATTTTTTATAATACATGTAATTGAAAGTGCAATGAAAGTATTTGCAATATGGAAGCCAATGAAACAGAGCAGTAACTGTTGATCTCTTTGTGCATAAGGATGTAATTTATATGTATAAGAATACTGTGTAAGTGTCTGATAATTTATTGTTTTATAATTAAAGGAGTAATTCATTGACAGGGTGTTGAAATCATTTCCTGATCCATTAAGGCATTGCACGTTTACTCTATGTTTACACAGATAGGTTGTTGGACCCTTTATTTCAATGACCCTAGGCCTGGTCCCAGGAGTTCTTTGTTGGTTATCTACCTGGGCAAGAGTACAGAATCTGCTTCTGACAGATTATGTTTCTCCCAGTGATAGGGTGATCATGAGAAACTGACAGTAGGTAGGGCCTACAACTTAATGTTGACTCCGAGGTAGAGATGAGCAATCTAGTAATTTTTAATAGCCACTGTTTCTGTAAATGTAACAGTTATTTTAAGCAGCAACTGAACATTCAAATATAAATTCAGATATGTAAAAATAACGCTGCAGAGAAAAGAACTGGTGGGAGAAAAAATGCATTCTAATTGTACGTTAATCAGTCTGTGAATTATGGCAGGTGCTCTTCAGCAAAAAATTGGTTACCTGCAAATTAGCTACCTGCTGCAGCTGCTAGTCAATGAAGTGTATAGCGACTCCAATAACAAATGGTTACATGGCAGTTTTTCTCATATTTGAAATAATTCTGTCTTGGTATGTGCTGGAAGGTGGAGCGTTAGTCTGTAGTAAAGGATGAAAATGGGCTGTGTTTACCAAACATAAGCTTGGTATCCCCAGAACCTCCTCAGTTGTAACATTAGTCATTTCAGACTCAAGGATATGCCTGAGCGTATCATTTAAATGTGTGTTGCTGGAAGAGAGTTATATTTCTCCTTTCTATGATGTGTCTAACCTGCAATCTGGTACTGCAACTATTCACCGTTTGCTTTTGCCAGTTTGCCATACAAACTGTAGCATGAGCCACGGATATATTGCTCTTTTTATATTGTTTATAAACAACGTAATGTCAAAAAGTGATATGACTAATTGGTAACATGGGAATCATCCATAAGAAAAGGCACAGCTGCATGGGAGAAGACAAAAATTGGTTTCCGAATCACAACACAAGACTTTTGCATTCTGCTATGTAGGCAACACTGCCTACAGCAGCTATACCCTGTTAATGTAAATCAAAACTTCAGTAATGAACTAACTACTACTGATTTTCAAGTATCGGTTATAAAATCATTATCAATATCGATATATATTGCTTACCTTTACTCTTAACCTCAGGGGCGGGGGGGAGACCAGTATTTCTCATATACCCTAGTTATAACTTCAATCTGTGAGTAGAAAAATATACACACACAGACCTGATCGTGAATCAGACTCAGAACCCTCTGAATGCTATTTCAGCATCTTAGCGAGGGTCACCAAAAATAAGTACCTTAGTAAATCTTGTTGTAGTCGGCCATCCCCAGCCTCACTCCTCTGCAGATAGTAGTCCTCTTCTTCATCTGATGGACGGACATACTGGTAATGGGGGTGGGGCTTTGACACGGCAGGAGCCTTCACAGGAGGTCTTACGCTTGAAGGGCCCAAAGGAATTGGCGATGTTTTAGTGGTGTCCACACTTCGACTGCTGGGATTATAACCTTTGGAAAGTGTATGAATAAAATGTGTATTATAGAAGTGCAATAAGTATGGAATACCAATTACATTCTTGGCTCCAGCCTCGCTTGTACTGGGTATGAAGATTGAAAATGTAACTCAGCATGTATAATAAACTGTGAACAAATTACAGTGAATCTTGGGCAGAAGAATATGATAGTGTAAGAGAGGCGTTGTTTATTGGATGGTAGAACCCATTCATTATTGACTCACACGTTTGTATTATTTATATTAACACAGCAAACACATCTTCCTCCATTGTGCCCAGCATACTGAGTATGACGCTACTACTAACACACCCACTTTTCTTCCTTCCAATCATCTTAAAACATTCTCCACTGAATTCCTCCTTGCTGAAGAAAGCGTTATAGTTAGTGGTGCAAATATCCAGATAGTGAATGCTACCTTCCTTTTATGAAATAGTCAGCCTGGCAGCAGCAGTTATGAGAATAGCCGAGGTCAATCAGAATGGCACAACACCCACATTAAATTTCATCCAAATCCATCAAGTGATTCTTGAGTTGAATCGACAGGACAGACAGACACGACCAGACCATATTGCATTCTCACTAAGCACTTCTTCCAAAAAACATAATGTTGGGTAATGAACATATATTTTTCACATTGTTGTGGTGGTTATTCTACGGAATTGTAAAATGTAAGCAAACACCAACAATATATGTGCAACAGGTCGCAAACTGAATATCAAATTAAAAGTACCATGTTCCACATATGTTTAGTCATTGGAACTTATCCTGTTTAGTCACACTTAAAGAAGTAAAACAATTAATGCATACCAAACATAACCTCACCTGCTGTGTTTAGTACTGGTCTGAGGGAGACAACTTCAGGCACTCATACCTCAGCTTGGTCTATTGTCCATCCCTGATTGTTTTAGGGCCCAAAGATTCCTGACTGCACTACTAAAGGTAGAATCAACCTAATTTAGGCCCTCCTAATATCTATCAGCTCCAGCCATGCCCAGCTAATGTGAGGCAATGATGTAGTATATGGTAAAGTTGATTCCTCCTGTTCTCGATTCCTGCACTTGAGGCCCATGATATGTAGGTTCCACCTCAATGTACAATGGCCAGCTAACAACCCTGTTTCCAGCCCAAGGCCAGTAGATCCCTAGACTGTTCATGTGAATGCCTGCCAGTGTAGGGTTCTGACTCCCTCATACCTGCTACGGCAGCCCAATACTGGGAGTGCCACTCCTTAACCTTTAACCTACCAATTCAAGGTAAAATTGAAATTACTAGTTTGGGACTACTTGAACTTTCTCAGCTGCTCTATTGATATTTATAGACTACAACCTGACCTGCGGTATTTATGTTTACTGACTAACACGTAACGTGGTGTGGTTATGCTTATCACGTAGAACCTAACTGATCAGAAACCAATGTGCTGGCTGGTATTTATGGTTACTGGCTTGAACCTAAACCCTATAGTTCCTCTTACAGACTGACATTTACTGACAGGAACCAAATCTGCTGTAATTAATCAACCAAGAAAAGAAAAATATCACAAAAAGAACGAAAGAGAATATATAAAACAATGGCACAAAGCGTGGCTCTATATGGAGCAGAAATATGGCAACTCTCGGAACAAAAAAAAAGTTGAGAAAAATGGAAATGGATATCCTAAGAAGAGCG